TTGAAAGTAGTGATGACCCTCCAACTCGTAGTAGGCCGGAGGGTCCTGTAGAGGATGGGGAGAAGAATGTGCCTTTAACCCTTAGTGTTTTGAGAAGAGGCAAGAGAAGAGGCTCCTTGAACACTGCAAAATCCTGGACAGCTCTCAGATTCCAAAAGATTGGCTTAGATGCTTGCCTCTTACAAAGCCCTCTATTTTAGAACAGCTTCCCTTTCCTCTGTCCACCCTAACAGAGAGCCCAGGGAACCTCAGGGCTCCCTCCAAGCCCTGAAACAACCTCTGCTCCAGAGTCTTCCCACATCATCTGAGAGGCCTAGGGCTGGTGGGGGCATCTATTAGGAGAGCAGATGGGAACTGTCTGGGTGTGTTATACATGAAGGAGGCCTTAGGCCAGCCTATGGAGGGGGGTAGGGCAGGTCCGAGAGGACCTGAACTCTCAGAGTGCAGACAGAAGAATTTGTTGCCTGCCCCAAACTGCCCTGGAGTAAATTTTCACCATGGGCAGGATGACTCAGGGCTAAATTACTGCTTTCTAGGCCCTTGAAGATTCAAGAGGCCTCTAATTACCTGGAGTCCAAGGCTATATCCTAGGGCCTATTCTTCCTGATCCAGTCTCCTGGAATTTGGCCTCAGTCTGCAATTGAGGGGCCCTGTGACATTGTTGCTGGGCAATGTGCCAAACAGCAGGCCCTGGAGACAGAACTATGCCAGCCAACAGCCTGACTTGGAGTTAACACAACTGCCACTGCCATCACCACCTTCTCGGAAAGCAGCCACCTGTCTGGCCCCTGGTTTTGTCTGGCTGCCAGCCTAAGGCATGTGCCTACGCAGGAGGTGATGACATTTTGGCTCTACTTCCAAAGTTTTTTTTTCCCTTTCTCATGTGTTATTTCTAAAGATAACAAAGGTCAAAAGGCATCCAGCATTTTCTGGTTTCTCATAAGCTTCTGGTCAATATTTAATCCAGTTTATGGATTATTTTAGGTCTTCTAGATGCCTTCTTGAGCCTGCTTGTGGACACCCACAGACACTGGTAAGGAGGAGAGAAGTCAGCCTAGCAGAGACACTCTGAAATGAAGGAATAGAGGCTGGGATCCAAGGAGCAAGAGCTGCAGCCAAAAGACAAGAGAGTAGGCCCTGAAGACACTTCTATTGAGAGGTCCGCCATGGCCTCTCTTGGCCTCCAACTTATAGGCTACATTCTGGGCCTTCTAGGGATGTTGGGCACCCTGGTTGCTATGTTGCTCCCTAGCTGGCGAACAAGTTCTTATGTCGGTGCCAGCATTGTGACAGCAGTCGGCTTCTCCAAAGGACTCTGGATGGAGTGTGCCACACACAGCACAGGCATCACCCAGTGTGACATCTACAGCACCCTCCTAGGCCTGCCCGCTGACATCCAGGCTGCTCAGGCCATGATGGTGACGTCTAGTGCAATCTCCTCTTTGGCATGCATTATCTCTGTGGTGGGCATGAGATGCACAGTTTTCTGCCAGGACTCCCAAGCCAAGGACAGAGTGGCAGTCGTGGGCGGAGTTTTCTTCATCCTTGGGGGCATCCTAGGCTTCATCCCTGTTGCCTGGAATCTTCATGGGATCCTGCAAGACTTCTATTCCCCACTGGTACCTGACAGCATGAAATTTGAGATTGGAGAGGCTCTTTACTTGGGCATCATTTCCTCCTTGTTCTCTCTAGTAGCTGGAATCATCCTCTGCTTTTCCTGCTCACCCCAGGGAAATCGCTCCAACTACTACGATGCCTACCAGGCCCAGCCTCTTGCCACTAGGAGCTCTCCAAGGCCTGGTCAACCACCTAAAGTCAAGAATGAGTTTAGCTCCTACAGCTTGACAGGGTATGTGTGAAGAACCAGGGGCCATCATTGGAGGCGGGTGGCTGGGTCTGTGAAAACTGGTGGACAACCCCCATGCCAGGGCCAACAGGTGAGGGACATTGCCACTGAACCATGTAAGAAGGTGCTGCTGAGGATAGACTGACTTTGGCCACTGGATCAAGAGAAGGCAGAAATGGGAGCTGGTGTGACAGCATCCAGGTTGAATTGTCAAGATGCTTGCCAAGCCAGCCTTTCTGTTTTTTTTTACCTTGGTCCCCCACCCCACACCCTGAGTCCCCCAACCCTCAACTCCAAACCCACCCTCTACTCTAGGCAAGACCATTCAGGCTTCCCTCTGCCCTTTAGTTTACCTGGGGCTCCATCCATAAACCCACTAATCACATCTCACTGACTGACCCTTTCTATGATCAAAGACCCTCCCTCTGACTGAGGTTGGCTTGTAGTTCATTACTGGGTGATTGGGGAAGAAGGAGTGGATCTAACCTCCTTCTCAAGCCTCCCTCCAAAGAAACGGATTGGCTAGTAATGTGCCCTGGAGCTTCCGTCCCACTCTTGTTATGATTCCACAGTGTCCAGACTGGTTCTTGCATGAACTGAAATAGAGCCATTCCACTGTATCAAGTGAACAGAGAGCAACTGAATACAGGATGAGAGGAAGGCAAGGTAGCTGAAGACCTAAAAATACCAGAACCACTGCTCAGGGTATTTCCCAGAATTCTTTCACACTTGTGGGTTGAATATCTAGCCGATGGCTAGAGGAAAGCACAAGAAAAGAAGGTATGGCAGAAAGCTCCAGGCAGCAGCAGACTGACTTTGCTGAAGAACTGCCTCAGAAGCTGCAGCCCCAACTTTCACTGAAGCTCCTGCCTCCCTCTGGGGCACCTGACCTGGCTTCCTGCTAAACAACAAGGCTAAAGGCCCTCCACAATTGTTTCCTTAAGAATGGGAAACTAGTTTTTCTAGAGAAGGCCCTTGGCTGGGGGATGACAGCATGGAAGCTGTGGAGGACTGTGAATGATACCACTCCTTGATGCTGCACAAGAAAAAATAAGAACTTTTGTATCTAAGAAGCTGAGTGGACATGTGTGGTGGCTCTGGTAGGTGTTTCTATTCGGCCAGAGAGAGGCATTCTCCCCCTCCCCCGCCCCTGCCAGAGAATCTTCAGGCCTAATAGAAAATCAGCCCAAAGGCTGAGATCCAGCCCTGGGCGGGGGGCACCCACAGAGCAGTAAAGAGACACTGAAAGACTGTAACACCAGGTGGGCCTCCTGTCACCCTTCATATTCCCTCCACCATCCTTCACCAGACATTCCAGAGTTTCTAGAAGGCATCCAAGGGTTTCAGGATAGAATAATCGGGCCCAAAGTTCTATGGCCCTGATCTGAGTCATAGCTGAGCTGCTGCCTGGGGTTTCAGATGAGGTAGGAGAGTAGAGAATGGTCCTCAAGCAGACAGTCCCAGTTCCAAGGTCTGAAAATACTCCCCTGGGGTGGGAGTCATAAACGAACCAAAGGCATTTTCCTCACTAGCCTTAGCACGACCAGTTCTGACAAACTCCAGTATACTCTCCCAAACCTCAGTGCCAGTGGAAAGGGTCCATTCATTGTCTCTAACACGCCTTGCACGTTTCTACTTTCTTGCCTATGTTTAAGCTTTTCTCCCAAGCTGGAAGGCCCTCTCCCCTTTGCCAAGTCTTCCTCATGCTTGAAGAACTTGCTCAGCACCACCTCCTTCACTGAGCCTCCTCTGACCACTCCATCCCTCTCCTGCCCCTCCCTCAATGTACAAATCACTTCTTTAATGCTTATCATTCATAATTTTGATGCATAGTTATCTTTTCATGTGTGTATATCTGATTACACAATGCATTGTAAACTTTTGGAGGGTAGGGGCCATATCTTAGACCTCTATGCATCCTTCAGACTTACAGATAAAAACTATCTGTAAGAGTGCTGGGCACACATAGATGATCAATAAACACTTGTTGATTGAAAAACTGTTTTATTCATTCAAAGGGGCTCAGACAAGGCATGTGTGATAGAGAACTCAGCTAAAGGGAGGGTATGATGGAAACTAGTCTTTTTTCCCACTGGGTGGATAGAAAATTCTAGACTTTTCTGAAGATATTATGAAAGCGAGACATCCCTGCTCCCTCCAGGGAAACTAACATTTTTTATCTTGCCCAGGGCTCCTCCTTTTTTACAACAATTGTTTCATTTAAGTTAGTTACTAAATTTGCTATGTGTTTATTCCTTTCATTCTCTGAATCATCATTGCGAGGAAGGTGAAATAGATCTGATAATCCCCATTTGGCAGATGGAGAAACTAAGGCCCACGTAAGTAAAGAGACTTTCCCAAGACCACACAGCTGGTGTTAGCGCTCCAGTCTCCTGACTCCCAAAATAGGACTCTGCTGATCCAATAATATTCACAGCCAGTAGGAAGAGCCTGCCAGAGGTCCTTAAACTGCCTAAGAGAAACATTTTAAGGCCAGCAAGGTAATATTGGGGATACACAGGCTCTCTTGGTCTTCTGTAAGGGGAATCTGGGAGAGCAGGACCAATTTACTGAGTATACCATCTAGAACTGCCCCTCCTGCTGTGCTAGCCAGCTGGCCAGCTTAGGCCCAGCTAACTGTCCCATCTGGGGAGATGCAAAGCTTACATTTGAATAAGTCACGACACCTCAGTTCCAATTCCCCTAACTCTGGAGGTGTGGGAGTTTTGGAGGCCAATGATTTGGCCCTGTTCTAACCTCATTTGGAATCAACAAAGCCTAATTCATAATGATGTTAACTATGGCAACAGACATTAATGGGGTCCTACAAGATTCAGCTTACCCACCTCCTGGACCTAGTGGGCCTCGGCACATAGGAGTCTGTTATAACGGGTACTACTACCATTGTATTCCTGAAGTAAGCCTTCTTTGATGTAGAGATTGGGACCCCAGCATCCAAGCCCATTTAGAAGAAATGGCAGTGGGTGAGAATAAGAGTGGAGAGAGAGGGCTTTCTGAACAGGAGTTTAATAAAAGGTCATGTCTCTGGTCTGGCACCATAAATGCAAGTGCCCTCGACTGGGGGCCACTGGAGGTTGGAAAATGAGGTTGACTTGCTGACTCTGCTATGCTGAGTGGGCAGCAGTCTGGTTAGGGATCTGATGACCCACCACCTGGCTACCAAAGCACTTTCAGACCACCAATTTCATTGCATGTTCCAAATACACCAATGGAACAGGTTTTTATCCACAAAACAAAGTGGAGGCCCAGAGAGGTAAATTCCCTAAAGTCACAGAGTGTCAGAGTCTGAACATAAGTTCGGAAACCCTTCCCGCAGCAACATGGGTCTGAGATTCTGCTCAGAAGGTGTAAGAGTGCCTGTTGCTCTTCACGTTGCTGTGGCCCTCCTGACCCCGTCTGCTACTGGAATGTAAGAGCCTTTGAGGGAAATAGGGCACAGAGCTCCCTTTATCTTAGGATAAGTCTGGCCTGGGAGGTCCTCCTTCCATTCAGTCTGGGAAGATTCTATGGAAAGAGTTAGAAGTTCATCCACAACTAGAAAAACCAGGGCAGATCTGACAATGAGCAACTGATTGAGCAGAAAAGCCTTTGACTGGTTTTCCCTTTGGCTCATTGAGCAAGAAAAGCCTTGATCTAAATAATTTCCTAGAAATCTCCTTGAGTCTGGGTCCATGTTGAACAGTTTTCAGCTAACCCCATTGCCTTCCATCATAAAGTAATTTAGATTAGCCATAGACCAAAGGGATAGTAAAGGCCATTTTGTTTATGCTGCAGCCTCATAGCTGTGACCCTTGCACAAAGAGAGATGTCTCTGCCCTCCCTCATTCCTCTGATAATAAGGTGATTCATGTTTTCTCTCCCTCGGGGCCCTAGTGACCCATTGCTATGTGATCATTAATGGGGGGAGTGGAGACTGAAACTGGTTTCTTGGTGGAGAGGCAAACTCCAACCTCCTGAGAGACCTTCATCCAGCCAGTTAAACAGCCATTCAACCAGCTCTCTAGCCAGCCAGCCCATACTAGCTGCACTCTTAGTTTATGTCAGGCAATGTGCTAAAGGCTTTGAGGGCTACAAGGGTGAGCAAGGGTTGTCTGTGCCTTGTAGGAGCTGACAGCTGATCTAGGGAAGATAACATATGTACACCAAAGTGTGGTCCAAGGCACAATATAGTCTGTCCTGCAAGAGGGGGAAAATGCCATAAGATATGGGTGTCAGGGGCTAGTTTAAAAAGGTATGAAAGTCCAATCAAATCCTAATCCTTATGAAATGAGGCTCTCACACTACTTAAGCTTCTGGGGGAAAGGATGATCAAAAGAAACTGCTTCTTCCAGTTGAAGGACCGTGGGAAATAGAGAAATAGGGTGGAGAGCAGTACTAAGGAGGAGAAAGGGAGACACTACTCAGCTAACACAGAACACCTGAGAGCTTGCCTCACAGAACCCCTAAATGACTTTAATGGAGAGAGTGACCCTAGGGATCAACCTCTTCTCCCTCATCTCCTTCTCTTGGGCAGATCTTCAGAAATTACTGGGGGCAGCAGAGACAGTGTCTATCTAAGTAACCTGAGGCCTTTTGGCTCTGGACCAGAGGAGGAACACAGATGTGGGAGATGGGGCACAGTGCTAAATGAAGGCAAATGAGGCCTTACAGGGTCAACTGTTCCCTCCCACTCAACCCTGGGCCCATGGACAGGGGACTCTTTCATGCCTTCAGCTGCCCACTCTGGCACATAGAGGCCCCAGGCTGGGAAGTGCCTGTGCTCCTCCTCAGCTGGCCAAAGCCTGGCCTTCACCCAACCTGGTCTCCCTGCCCAGGCGGCTCCTAGCTTTGATGAGAAATTTTGTTATCTCAACAGGGTGGAGGGTGGGGGGAAAGCCTCAAACAGGAAGTCCAGCAGGTTATCTCTGTCTTTTGGTCAAAGTGGTGGCTCAATATGTGCTGCGATGTGATCACTGATAAAATATTAACAGGCTGCTATCAGGTACAGCAATACAGAAGCTGTAATTTGACCACCCCCTCCGCCTCACACAACTGACCATTTTCCTGGGAATTGCAGCTTAGGAATTCCTAGTTAACTCTTGCCTACAATTCTATGCTCTGGGCCTCATTTCTCCACAAGACAAGCAGGAGTGTCTTGGGGTTTGACAAAGCAGAAAGTCACCATACAAGGGCGAATCATCAGGTCCTGCTCTTCTGTCATCCATGAAGTCCACTTCCTCCAGAATGGCACCCTCACCACTTCACAAGTCACTTCCTAGGAGGGCTTTGTACAACTTTCTATTTGCAAACATGGCCTTGTGGAGATAACATTGAGAAAACTCACATGCCTTCAATCAGATATTCGAAAGTATAATGGGATGTAAAATGAAATGCCAAATGAGTATGAGTACTGTGGCAGGCAACCCAGCATTTCAGTGGTAGCTCCTTTTCTTCAATAGTACTTTCAGAGTCTGTGATATTTGATAAAGTTCTCTGTGGGTTCTCAGAAGAAAGGCCAGTCACAACAAAAGTACAGAGAAGACACTCCTTACAGCCTTTCACTTGAATTTATCTCTAGAATTGCCCAAAGGGGTGCAAGAGGGTGGATTAACCACCCCCACAATGGATTTCTGATGATATTGTGAGGACCTTACTCCCTTGTGTTAAAAGGCGCTGAATGTCTTGATTAGAAAGCAAATGTATTTTATGGGAAGAGAAATGCATTCGGCCAAAGATTAGCCATCAACACCAGAATTTGCACTAGTTTCTCAGTTTAGCCTTAAAAAGAAGCAGAATGAGAAGAGTCCAAAGAGTTTTAAAAATAGAACACTAATTCAGACAATGGACTGGAATTTGGGAGAGCAGAGTACTGAATAACACATACACCCTTCAACTAAATGATTCAACAGTTTCAGAAATGGAGATGAAGTAGAAACCAAGAAAAAGGCAGACAAGATGAAAAAGGTGGCGGTGCCCTTGGCAATTCCAGAGGCAGCTTGTGTGGTTAATTTTATTCCTCTGAGTGTAATAATAAACCAATATGTTCTCAAGTGTCACTTTCTTACTCCCCAAAAGACTTGCCTAACTCAGCACTCTCTGGGGTGGGGGTGGAAAGGTAGGGGTGGGGTGGTGGTGCAAAAGAGCCAGTGAAAACACTCACAGGCAGAGGCCAACAAGTCCAAGACCTCCTGGACTGTAAGAGGGTCTTGATGGCTGTTTTGATATCAGGAAAGCTGCCAAGTGACAGCCCTGAGTGAAAAACTCAGTCAAGAGGAAATGAATTTCCACATTGTTTGGAGGGATATTCATTACATAAGTGAACAATTCCTGATCACAAGGACAGTTAAACATTGTTTGGGATTGTGGAACTTTCTTGCTTGGAGGTTCCTATTTGTATGGGCTGGCTTTAGCATTTTCTTAAAAGAAGCCAAGACTATTGTTTTCAAGATAGGCAGTATGGTGTAGTGGGAAAGAAGCCTAGGCTTTGGAGTCCAACAAGGGTTTAGTTTTGCCTCTGCAGTCTCTAGCTGTGTGGCCTTGGGAGAGCCACTTAAATGTTTTACATTTTAGTTTCCTCATCTGTGAAATGGAGATACCTTTTAGTGAGGTCATGGTAGATAGTAGGTCCTCAACAAATGGTTAACTGTATCTTAAGCATATTGGCAACCTAAAGAGTAGTGTCAAAGTCACACAAAAATGTGTCTTTGGGGAATGGAGGTAGATGAGAGAGTATAATTTCTACCACAAATCTGAATCTATATTAGCAAGGATATAGTCTGTCCCGGGACAAAACTTCTCAATATTCTTCCCCCCCGCCCCCGCCACCAATCTGAATACTTTGAAGACCTTAAATAGGTTTCTACTCATCAGATTCCATTAACAAGCCAGAGGAAAAGCAAACTTGAGAGGCTGGAGAGGAAAAGGGTGGTCATCACTCTTTGACCTTCATTCAGATCTGTGAAAATCTGAGGTGGAAAAGAACCACAATCCATCAGGTCCCACTGCTAGAGAAAAGTTTAGTCCAAGGGAACTGCACTCTGGGTTTAATTTCCTAAACTCAGGGACAACTGGGGAGATTTCAACAGCCACTTCCTAATTCATAGCCTACAAAGCTCCATTGTTAAGCTGATATAGTGTAGCCTTCCTCTTGCTGGCATTTCCAAGCCCTTGGTCCATTCTGTTCCTTATGCTCCAAACTGAATAATTCACTATTCCTCACACCCTCTTGAGTGTTCCTTTATTCACCCCTCTCCACTCAGTCTTGTGACTTTACTTATACTATACCCTACACCTGGAAAATCCTACCCCCTCCCATACCTCCATCTTTCCAATCCTTACAAGTTTCCAAGCCCATCTGGAAGATCAGACCTTTGGGGAACACTTTCCTGACCCTCTGCCTAAAGTTATCTTGCCTGCCCCTGAGGACTCAATGGGTAGATGAACGCAATGTGTTTAGCATGTAGAAGGTAACCAAAACATTTGAACTCTTCTAAAATAAAAGTGGGTTGGGGGATTTCTGGTGATTCACATGAAAACTTTGGGCTTAGGGATGGAGGCAAGTAACAAAACACAGTTTTTTTTTTTTTTCCCGCAGATTTTATTTTCCATTAGAAAATGAATGCTATATGTCTCAATGACTAAAACTTTAATATACCCAAGACTATTTGTCAGTTCTTTCAAATTGTCTACTTTATTAACTAAGCATGTGCCCTGATTTTTGATTCAGAAAGTATGGTTCCTGAATGTCCTCTATGCCTAAGAAACGAGTTAGGAATGTCCTTGTCACCAAGTACAAGTTATTTGGGTGGGGGTGTGGGGGGAACGGATTTACACTTTACTTAGCCTGAGCTTACCCCTTCAAGCTTTCCTGAGCATACCTCCATACCTTCACTCTTAACACTGTACTAAAGAAAGAGGTTTTAATTCACAATACAGAACTCTGAAACACATTCTATCTGGAGATTGCCTTTGGGAACTGAGACCCTGCCAATCAAGCCTGTGTCTCTGTTGTTACCCCCAGATTATTTGCAATCGCTGGACATGGGTGAGCAAATATTCCTGTTCCCTGGGGCCACAAAGCCTCTGACTTAGTCCTCTGCAAGGTCCAATTTGTTTATCCAACAATGCACTGACTTCCTGACATGAGCCAGGAACTTGTTTCCTTGAAGCTTGTTCTGTCTGTTCTTTGCTTATGGATAGCTCCTCTTTCTTCTCTTGAAATAAACTGGCTACTCTTGGAAAAAGTGAACAGAAGGCTCCTTAGAATTTTTTTTTTCTTTTAGCTTTCACTCTCAAGATATGGTCTCTATGGAGTTCACCTGACTAAATTCTGTAATTCTGTAATATTCAGAACATCTTCCCTTTCTCCTTTGATAGCCTTTCTAATTATTCAAAGATCAGCTAAAGAGAAACACTAGGACACTCCAGTGCACACTGACTGCCCCCCGTAACTTGTAGCTCTTATTATCTCAGTCTTTCATTTTCAGAATTTAATATCCGGGATTATCTACCTCATTCATACTCTTATGTATCCAGCCCCTTCTATGAATGAGGCACTGTTTTAGGCTCTTGAGAGAGATGAAAATATGAACAAAACACAGTTCCTACCACTAACAATTATTTATTGATTACCTACTATACACCAGGCACTATGAGAAGCTCTGGGATACAGTGATTAGTAAAAACAGGCATGAGCCTTCCCTTCATGGAACATACCATTAGTGAAAGGGGCAGACAGGGACCACATGTGTTATGTTCACCACTGTACATCACACAAAACATAGTAGGTACCCAATAAATATTTGTTGGATGAGTGAAAGTAAACAGCCAAATATATAACTGCAAATTGTGCAAAGTGTTATGAATTAAACACAACAGGAAACAGTGATAAAATAGGGTAGACCGAGAAAAAAGGTTGCCAGGAAGGCCTGTCTGAGAAAGTTGACACTTACACTAAGACCTGAATAATGAGGAATAGCCAGCCATGCCAAGACTGGAGATACAAGCATTTTAGGACAGGGGACAATATGAATAAAATCAGAGCCTGACCTGTTTCAGTGGGAAGACAGCAGTGAGCAAGGGGAAAAGTGAGATATGATGAAGAGTTGCAAGAGCCAAAGTAGAAGAAATAGGCAGGGGTCTCGGAGGACACTGTAAGGAGTATGGATTCTATCTAAGTGCAATGAGAAGTCATTGAAGGGCTTTAAGCAAGGAATCACATGATCTGACTTATATTTTTTCAAAAACCATTCTGGCTATAGTGATAAGACAATTGTGGGAATAAGAATGAAAGCAAGGATACCAGTTAGGAGTTGCAATTACCTGTAAGAGATGGTGGTTTGGATTAAGTGAGCTGTGGTAAAAGTGAGTAAAGTCAAGATATACTTTGCAGATAGAGCTGACAGACTTTCTGACAGACTGGATGTGGGGGACTAAAGACGAGGAAAATTAAGGATGACTTCCAGGTTTCTAGCTCATGCGACTGGTTGGGTAGACGTGCCAGTTTTTCGAATGAGGAAAATTGAGGGAACAGTCCTAGAGTGTGCGTCACTATTTATTTTTAACACGTTTTACTTGACATGCCTGTGAGACATTAAGTGTAAATGTCAAGTAGGCAGCTGAATATTTGAATTGGTGCTTTCTAATAGAGAAGACAGGACATGGAAGTTTGTGATAGGAGCCTTATAAGTGTCACAAAACTTACATGTTCAAAGAAAACGTCATGTCTGGCTGAGTTATTCAGAAGAATTTTCAGGAAAAAAGTTGACACTTGAGCCAAAGAGAAGATGTTAAGGGAGAACATTCCAGGCAAAGGCAGAGATGGTGAAAATCTCAAGGCAGGTCCAGAAACCAAGAAATAGTTCATTTTGGATGGAATGTGGTTTGTGTTTGAAATGCTGGAAGATGAGTCTAGAGGGCATGGTTGAAGCCAGATGGGAATTTGTATTGTGCTTGTTGGGCAACCGGGAGCACTAAGAAAGCCTTGGAGCTGAGGCATAACCTGATGAGATCATTAAAAGCAATTTAGTGACAGTGAGTAGGGTGGATTGAAGGAGAGAGAACAGGAGGCGAGGGAGGCCAGTTAAGAATCTATTTCAGTGATGAAGGCATGAGGTAAAAAGAATCTAAATGTTGATGGTGGAAGTGGAAAGTTAAAGGGCAAATATGAGAAACATTTGAAAGAATTATGATTATGTTAACCTAAGAGGATAGCCAGGAGGAGGCACCCACTTTGTTCTTCCCGCTCCCCCCGCCCCTCCACACACACACACACTGTATCATAAGCTCTGGTACGACTGGGTGACACTTTTCAATCTTTCCACCATGGCATCTAACATGGTTAAAGGGATCTCATCTGTTCTAATTTCACTGCGAATAGGTAACAGAGGTAGCTCTGGTATTATAGTAAATGGACACACACAGTAACTGCTACTGGAAGAAACAATACGGGGTTGACACTAGGAAATGGGCTGAAAGTAAGCACTAGTAGAGATGAGTTAAGATTGTCCACCATTCTTTTTTACAGCCCAACGGCCTATACTCCCTCCTACTCTGCCCCCTCGTTCACCATACCTTTCTTACACACACATGCACACACACAGAGGCTGAACCTTCAATGTTCTGAATTATTTCCTATATCACCTTTTCATTCATATTGTCTGTATCTGTGCAAAGCCACACCTTTCTCAGCCCCCATGAGAAGAGCAAACATCACTAAGAGAATGGCTGAATGTTACCCCCACCCCCACCATCCTTCTCTGAGTAATATTTAGATAACTGGGGCTCTCAATATCATAGTCCAAATGTCTGATATGAGAAATAATCACAGGGCAGGCTAGAGCGGCAGTAAGGTGAAGGGAAGGGGGCAGGGAATATCTTTAAGGACTCATTTTAATGGTGAAGCCTGGCTCTGGCCTTGCCCTATTCCTTGTGGTCTCACAGGAAGATCTATGATGAGCCTCCTTTCAAAGGAGATAAAATAACTTTAGGAAAGTCTTCTGAAGTAACTGCAGAAGAGAAACAGAGCAAATACCAAAACATTCCTCTGGACTAGCTAATCCTTTTGCAATTGCTTGATCCCACCTCCCTTTTATTATTTCTCCTGTATTTCATTGTTGTTATGTTTTTACGTGTTTATTGTTCAATGTCTTTTGAAGAGTACCTTGAACTCTTTGGAGAGCATGTGCTATATAAATACCATATAGCAATGAATAAACAAAATGTCTACTTTTACAAGAGTATAACTTTTACTATTTCTAATAATACGAGATCTACCCCTCATTCAGCACTAGCCTGAAGAACAGGTAAAGCAGTATATTCTGAGGAATATCAAATAGATCTCCCTGCTCTAAAATAGCTCCCCTACTACCTGAAGTCCCACAGTTTGGTGATACATCTATTTTTGAAACTGAGCCTTGAAGATTTCTTTTTCGAGAATTCCTTCTTAAAATGCAAACACCACAGAGATGGGTCATGATTTAACTTTAGTTCCCTTTACATTAACCCATCACTCCTACCAAATACATTTTTCACATTCTAGCTTTTTCTGTGCCTTTGTTCATGCTATTCTTCCAGAGATAATGCTAAATATAATGAAGTATAAATATAAAATTAACTTATATTTTCTCAGTCTCTCACTTGATATCTAAATTCAAGCCTACTCATTCTCTTTAAAAACAATTTTTTTCAATGTAAAAATAATAACAGGTTTATTATAGAAAATTTGAAAAAGGCAGGAAGATAGCAAGAAGAAAAAAATATCAACCACAGTCTTACCACCTAAAAAACAACTGTTCTTAAGTGTGGTCATGCTCACTCTTTAAACAAACCTTAGTTTAGGTCCCACTTATGTGGTGATGCCTTCCTTGATTTTCCTCCCCTAGAATTTTCCCATCATGTCTGTACAAGTTAGTTAACTTGGCATGTCTTGTGTTTCCAACTAGATTGTTAGATCTTTGATGGCTGAAACCATGAGTTATACTTCTTAATTTATCCCCAAACACCTAGTACATTGGACCCAATATTCGCTGACCGATTTAACCTACATCAATACAAACCATTTCAGGAAGGATATAAAATAGGCCAGGTATCTAAGTAATGAAAATTAAAGCTTTCAAGTCACCTGGTTTGGTGACTATTGCTCTTCTGTTCCTGGAATTCTTCAAAGCCTAGTGACCTAGCCTCTTTCTTCACACCAAACTGAATAAGAAGCAGACTGATTAAGAGCCAGGGTTTACTCGAAGATTCTCTATATAAGGCATAAAGGTGAGGGAGAGAGAGAGAGAGAGAGAGAGAGAGAGAGAGAGAGAGAGAGAGAGAGAATAAGAGCGAGAAGTAAGGGAAGGAGGGAGGGAGAAAAGGAGAGAGAAGAAGAGGGTAAAGAAGAGACAGGTAGAGAAGGGTATATAGAGTATATAGTCTAGTGCTCAATCCAGTATGTGATTTGCCTCCAGCACCGTATACAGGATCCCATCCACTTGTTCTGAGTCAAACCCGATCTCACGAAGCTCCAAGTGAGGGAGGACAGAAGTAAGGAGATAGCTGACGTGGACACGCAGCCGCGTAAGCTTTGCCAAAGCCCTGTATGATGGAGTGAGGGGGCAGGAGAAGAGATGACATGAAGTCATTAGCTAACAGAACAAAATGAAGCTCCTTAAAAATGGGCCTACATTTCTCAACAATTATGTTTCCATTAGCTACAAAGAAAGAAGAAAGCACAATGCCACCAAGCACAGGCAGACTGGCTGCAGCTCTCTAAGAAGTAATTCCTCAATCCTTGGTGGCCTATGAATTGATTAAGGCTTCCTCCCTTATCTGTGACCAGTAACTGGGGTCCTAAGGGATGTTTCCCATTAGTACTCACAAGCTGATAACTAAACCCTAGGAATTAACCTTTCTAGGTCATCTCCCTCTGGGGTCCGGTAGGAGACCTGAGCCTTCTGCAGCACTTCCAGGTGCATCTCTGTCTCCTTCAGTTTCTCTTTTAGTTCTTGCTTTTCCTCTTTGGTTCTTTCCAGCTCAGCTTTCAGAATTTGGAATTCAGCTTGGCGATAGCCCATGTGTTTCTTGCTCCAATACAAGCCTTCCGTCTCCTGGGTACTGTAGGTCACCAATTCATGTTGGACTTTCTTGAATTCAGAATGCCAGTGATTCCTCTCCTGCTCCAGCTCCTCCACCTGCAGTTCAAGAAATAGAAATTCCATGACCTCACATGCTACAAGTGCACCCAAAATAGTCCCCGATATATTCACTCTGTGATTCTATTGCACATGTTCCTCTACTTATGGACCTTTCAACCCCAAAATATGGGTGGGAAGCCCATGAGGGTTCACCCAATCGAGACATACCACAGAATGATTCGATGGCTTATTTTGTTTAAAGGCCTCAGAACATGAAATCGTCAGAGCTCTAACTATCTGGTCCCTCGGTTACAATGATCTCTTATTCCTAGCGGTAAGGGGCTGCCCTAACCTTTTGCTGGAACAAGTTCCTTTCCGCCAGAACGCGTTCCAGTTTTTCTGTGGTTCTTTTCAGTTCTTCCAGCTCTCTTTGGTTCTTCATCTTCGGTGTATTACGACCTCCACTCTCCTCGTAGCCTCTTCCTTTCTCCCCAGTGGCTGCAGCAGGGGTTGTAGTAGAGGCCACAGAAGAATAAGACACTGGATTCCAGGATTCAACCGCTTTTCTTCTCTCAGCAAGCTCCTCTCGGTTAAAAGGGATCAGCTGAATGGGAGCTCCTGAATCTTGTACACCTTTTGCAACACCGACAACAGCTACAAAAGGTCCCTTGTTTACTTCTTCCTTGCTTATGTTTCTGCTGCCTCTATTAGACTCTTCTGCTACCAATCTTGGCATCTGATCTTCTAATTCTTCAGGGATCAAGGACCCCTGGTGTTGGTCTTGGACCCCTGAATACAGAACTGAAACCTCCCTACTTTGACTGGTGTTCTTGCTTGCTTCTGGGTATTCTGGGGAAAGGTATGGTGGTGTGCTTCTCTCAGAGCTAGATTTATCATGGCTGCTTTCCCCTTCTGGGTAAGAAACAGCTGCCTCTACCCTCCTGTGAGAACCAGGCATGGAATAATCTAGAGGAGGTGTTGTCATCTCATGCAGGAGCCTTCTTCGTTTCTCCACGGGTTCCTCACCTAGGATCCATTTGTACTTACTGTAAGAAGAGGAAAGTAAATGTTAAGCTACCGAAATAGAGGCTAAGTATATGCTTATCCCTGTGGAGACCCTCTTCAAAATCCCCATATTAAAACTGACTCTAGCTGTTTTCCACAGCTCATTTCAGGTTAGGAATACAACTTTACCCCCAAACCCTAACCCCTTCACTTATGCAATTTGCTGAGATAGCAGTTGGTCTTAAGGGAGAGATGAAATCAAAATGTATGAAGAGTCAGCATCTGTATAAAACAGGACCAGGATGACCTTGGTAAGAATACTGAAAATAGGACTGAAACCATCATGACTTAGAAGTTTCTGAAATGCAAGTAAAGGAAGAAAAACAAACAAAAAATAACACATGCAAAATCCCCTAATACGAGAATGGAGAAAAAGGTCATTAAAAGCCTAGCGGAGTATGTAGAGAACTGAGCCAGCTCGTTAATTTTAAAGTGTCACAAAAAGTTTCCAGTATCAAAGACTTATGCGCATTTTTTATATTGCAACGAACACCATACAATTCTTTCGCCAGCCAACTGCACTGTGGCTATTGCCCATTATTCACCTGTAAAATGTAAATAAAACACAGGGCACTGGTCATAAACAAAGAAACTAAAACAGGCAATTCAAGTCACTTCCCTCTTATGGCAAAAGAATTTCCCTCCGTTGGGGCAAACAGGCACTCCCGCAGGAAAGCCCAGGATGGTGACCTCAACCACCTTCCATTTCTGGCTGCTACATGCACTAAAGGTTGAAGGAAGAAACAAAACAACAGGCGCCAGTGAAATCTATAGGCAATTTTACATCACGCAGCAGAAATGGACCCCCATTTTTATCCTTACAACTATTTTGCCGTCTCTGCAGAAAACGAAGAAATTTCAAGGTTAAAATCAACATTCAAAGTTTCAATGAGAAACAGTCAGGCATGTTCTTGGATAACTCATGGTATTTCAAGGCTGCTCATATTTCTCTGCAACTTCTGAGAACATCTGTGAAACATCTCAAACCTTAGCTTCTTATAATGCCCTAAATGTTCTTCAAAGCTAGTGTTTACCCAGAAATAAAGCTGCTCTGCCATCTTAATAGATCCTACTGTGTCAGCTGGGAAAGCAAAAGGATTTGGGGGCTATGTAAGAATAAATGTATCCATCTTTAAACACACATAAGGACCACTGCAGATGAACCATTTAGCTGTAGTACTGAGGAAGATAGTAAAACAATCAGTTTGTGAGTATAAAGGCAGGGTAAATGATACTAGAAAGCAACAGCAAAGTTTTATGAATGTCTATCTGCCTTTTCTTCATTTTTCCCTATCTAAGGGTTCTGTAATTCTCTCCTCTCCCTACACTTCCTTTTCTTTGGTAATCTCATACAACCTCTTGGCTATAATCTCTGGGGAGAAACTCCCAAGTCATTCCCCCAGCCCTGATTCCAACTGCCTGTCACATATTTCTTTCTGGAAGTCGCACTGGTATACACTTAGTATGTATAAAACTGACCTTTCATTTTTACCTTCAAACCTAGCTCCCTCTCCTATTTGTGTTATGACACCACTAAACTCTCAGTAATTTTATATAGTTCTGCCACTATCAATACTCAAGTTCAGGCTCTGATTACCTCTCCTAGACTACTGCAGTGGTTTTCTCCAGTCTCCTCTCAGTCCAGATCACCCAATGCCAAGTTAATCTTCCTAAGACATGGTTCTAATACTGTCTTTATTTATTGCTCCAATGTCTAAGTCCAGCTCCAATGCCACTTCTGAATTCCTAGAACACTTCTCTCTTATAATTTATATCTATCACTTTCTACCATGTGTGTCTGTGCATGCAAGTGTGTGCATGCGTGTGTGGGTATTGTAGGTTATGTACGAAAGTATGACCTTCTTGACAGAAGGGATCTCAACTGTGCTAGTTAGGGTTGCAGGAACAAAATGTTTACACATTGAAAACCAATCTAAAACTGTTACATGAATGAAAGAAAAATAAGTAGATTTTACTTACTGGCTCTATGAACACTTATTAGTTTTATAAGGAAAGGCCTGGTTCTTCTCTCCAGGAATCGATTCTCATTCCAGACCTGTATTTATTCATTTAATAAAGATTAATTTAGAGTTTATATACCAGAAATTATTTTCCAACTACGTATTTTCCACTCATTTTCTTTCTTCTTTCTGTCATATTCCTCCACTGTTTGTCTGCAGAGAAGCCATCTGATATTTTGACAGGGATTGCGTTGAATCTCTATCTCAATTTGGGGCGTACTCCCATCTCAACAGTATTACCTCTTCTGATCCACGAACATGAAATGTCTTTCCATTTATTTAGAACTTCTTTAATCTCTTTCAACGATATTTTGTAGTTTTCAGTAAACAAAGCCTTGCTTGCCCTTTTGTTAAATTTTATCTTATTTTACTTTTCAAGCTACCATAAATGGAATTTTCTTAATTTTTGTTGCCAACTTTTGATTTCACTGATTTTCTCTATTTTTGTCTATTCTGTATTTTGTTTCCATTCTGATCTTTGTTATTTCCTTCTTTCTGCTTGATTTGGGTTTAGCTTACTCTTGTTTTTGTAGTTCCTTAAGGTGGAAATTTAGATTAGAGAACTTTCTTCAATTTTAATATAAGCGTTTACAAATACAATTTCCCCTTGAAGTACTTCCTTAGCTTCATCCCATTAATTTTGGTATATTTTCTTTTCATCTTCTCATGATATTTTCTAATTTCCTTTGTGATTTCTTCTTTTACTTATTTGTTGTTTTGAAGTGTTATTTAATTTCCACGTATTTGTGAATTTCCCAAATTTTCTTCTTTTGATTTCTGATTTTATTCCTTTACAGTTGAAGAACATCCTTTGTATGATATCAATCCTTTTAAATTTATTAAGGTTGATTTTATGGTCTAACATAAGGTCTATCCTGAAGAATATTCCATGTGCACTTAAGAAGAATATATATTGTGCTGCTTGGGGGTGATGTGTTCTGTATATGTCTGTAAGGTTAAGTTGGTTTATAGTATTCTTCAATTCTTCTATTTCCTTGTTGATTTTCTATTTCTTTGATGATCTTCTACCCATTACTGAAAGTGGGGCATTGAAGTCTCCACTATTAAATTGTCTATTTCTCCATTCAATTCTGTCTGCTTTTGCTTCGTGTATATTTGGGCGGGGGGGGATCTGTCCATATATGGGTATAATTATTATATCTTCCTGATGGACTTCATCATTATAAATATCCCTCTTTAGATCTAGTGACATTTTTTTTTTGTTTAAAATGCATTTTGTCTAACAGTATAACTACTCAAGCTCTTGCGGTTGCTGTTTACATAGTATATTTATTTTTCCATCCTGTTATTTTCTATCTGTTTGTATCTTTGAATCTAAAGTATGTCTCCTGTAGACAGTATATTGAATATTTTTTTATAAATCCAATCTAATAATCTCTGTCTTTTGATTGGAGTGTTTAGTCTAGTCACATTTAATATTATTGATGTCATAAAATTTATATTTGCTACTTAACTTTCTGTTTCCTATATCATGCTTTCTTTGCTCCTTTCTTCAACTATTCCCCTTTTCATGTTATGTGGATGTTTTCTAGTTTAACATTTACAAATCTAACATTACATTGCTATAATTATTACTTTCTGTAATGTTATGTCTTGAGGAAGCTGAGTGAACCTTATTTTTTCACTTTTAATTTTCTTCATTTCTTACTGTGGAGTTGAGTTACCACCTGCTGTTATTTGCTTACTCTGATATAACTTTGCTCCAACTCACCTCCTTTGCACTGTTACTGTCAAACATTTTACATCTGCAGATGAACCCAATGACAAAATTATATACATATATGAAATTATACACAAATAATATATTGTTTTATGCAATTATTCTTTAATCAGTTAAGAATAGAAAGAGGATGAAATATGCCATTACGTTGTCTTTTATAATCAATTACAATTACCGTTGCCAGTACTCTGTTTTTCATGTGAATCTGAATTACTATCTGGTATCACTTGCTTTCAGCCTAAAACACTCCCTTTAATATTTCTTGTAAAGCAGTTTTGCCAGAAACAAATTCCATCGGCTTTTATTTATCTGGGAATGTATTTATTTTACCTTCATTTTCTGAAGATAGTTTTACTGGATTTAAAGTTTGTGGTTGACAGTCTTTTGTTCAGTACGTTGAATGTCATTCCCCTTCATTGTTTCTGATGAGAAGTCAGCTATTTTTCTTACTAGGATTCTATTGTATATAACAAGTACTTTTTCCTCCTCTTTTTGCTTTTGAGATTTTTTCTTTGCCTTTGGCTTTCAGTATTTTTACTATGATGTGTCTGGCTGTGAATCGCTTTGCAGTTATCTCATTTCGAGTTTGTTGAGTTTCTTGGATGTGTAGATTAATGTTTGTTTGTTTTTTTTATCAAATTTGAGAATTTTCAGACACTATTTCTTTGAATATTTTTCTATTCCTTTTCCTCTCTGTCTTCTCCTTTCTGTACTCCATTTTGCATATGTGGAGGCACTTAACAGTATCCCACATTTCTCTGAAGCTGTTAATTTTTTTCATTCTTTTTTCTGTTTTTGGCATAATCCATAACTGATGTATCCTCAATTTGCTAACTCTTCTGCCAACTTTAATGTGCTGTCAAGTCCTTTTATTGAGATTTTCATGTTAGTTATTGTATTTTTTACTGCCAGAATTTCCATTTGGTTCTTTTTAAAAATAATTTTGTCCCTTTATCGATATTCTCCACTTAATGAGATATGGTTTCCTTTAGTTCTTTGAACATATTTATAATGGCTGTTTTGACGTCTTTGTCTGCTAAATCCAACATCTGGGTCTCAAGAGCAGTTTCAATTGCCTATTTTTTTGTGTGTGTGTCCCTATGTACAGGTTACATTTTCCCCTTTTTTTGCATGTCTCATTTTTTGTTGACAATTGGATATTTTAGATAATATAGCATAGCAACTCTGGACACTGATCCCACCTTTCTGAATGGTTGATATTGCTTGGTTGTTTTTTTAGTGACTTGGCTGAACTGACTCCATGAACTCTACTTCTCCCTCAATGTGCAGCCTCTGATGTTCCTGCTCATATTTCTTCTTGATTTTTATCTTTTACCTGGCAACCCAGGATTCATCCCTGGGTCAACACAGGCCACTTCTTAGTCAAAAGTTGTGCCTTAGCCCCATTAACTAGTTAGACTTTTACCCTTTACCAATGGATGTGTGTATGGCCTGAAACTACTATCACAGTTCAAGGAATTTATGTTTCTACCCTACATTCAGCCAGGTAGTAGTAGCTTAGATTTTTCTCTCTCGAATTATCTTTGAGAGGGCACAGCCTTGACCATGCACACGGTCTTTCAGAACATCAGGGACATGTGTAATTTTATTCGTAAGCCCAACTTACTAGGCATAGCCCCTGAGTCAGAGTAGCTTATTGTACAGCCAGTGGTTGGTTAGAGGTTGTACTTAAGACCCTAGTGCCATTGAGGCTCCAACCCTTTGTTGTCTGATCTGTGAGGCCTGGGGAGTGCTTCCAAGTCCACCTTATATCCTGGTCTGATTGCTCCTGAAAGAGTGCAGCCTTGTGCTTATACACAGCCTTCCTAACCCACAGGGTTGACCATGATCCCAGGAGAGCTCTTCCGGACTTTTTCCTTGGTTCTGTCACCAAACATCCAACTGCTTGGCTATTTTGCTTGTTGTAACTTGTACTGTAGAGTTATGATTACCCTCTTCACTGTTCTCCACCAAGATTTCCACTGTTTTTGACAATGCCCTTAGGAGTGGAATAGTCCATGATTTGTTCCACATAAGGTCAGTTTTTTCAGATAGAGCTAAAAAGCTCTTCATCTTTAAGGCCTGCTTCTCCCTCTAAGCAGAAACATTGTGCCCCTGTGCAAGAGCTGGGGGCAGGGGCAGTGGTCACCTTCTTTAGAGTGAAGCCTTTTCTTTTATGAATGTGTGCTGGGATTGTTTGGCTTGCTCCTTACACGATGAACCCTTGCCCTATAAGCAAGCTGAGGTTGGAGCAATAGGGGTCTAGTATTTTCAGCATGCTGTTCTCAGGTGAATGCTTTCACCCTGAGTAGGGGCTGGGTGGAGGAGAAATTTGGCTAGGAGAAGAGACATTAAGTCTTTCTTGGGTTTGCCTAGAATAGAGCTTCTGCAAGACAGAACTGGGAGAGATGAGAAATGTCAGAGGCTTGCCCCTCCCAGGTGAAACCAGAGTTCTAGATTAGGAGACAGGGGAAGAAGGAGCCCCCAACTTCTTGACCACGTACACCTGAATTAAAGCTCCCTGAGTAGTTTTCATAAAACACATCTTGGAGGAGAATAGGAGAAGGCTAAATGCCAAAGAGTCCTGCTGTTCTTTCTGAGATTTAATAGATTTTCTTGAATAAATGTTTCTCCATTTGCTGTATGCCCCTAGGACAATTTCCTGGAACTCAGAATGGTTGTTTTAATTTGTTTTGTTTAATAGTTTTTTCCAGTTAAATGGTTATTTATTGGTGAAAGTGCCCACCATACTCCTCATTTCTCTATTGTGGAAGTCTCTCTCAAAGATGGTATTTTAAAACGTTATTACTGGCCCCTGAATCAACTTATTCATTTGCAAAATCATTCTTTTCTATCTCATGTTTGTTGTTTCAAATATTCCTTTAAACATATTAGAATGTCTCTCTTTCTACCATTACAGTGTAATTTGGATTTTATTTTTTGGTTATCCTCTTAAACATGAACAAATTAGCCTTTGACATATAGCTTATTCAAAGGCTCTCTAAATATCTAAATAAATTACAGCCACTAATTCTCGCCATGTGTTTATGCCTACTTTAGACCTTCGTTTGTACTACTCACATGAAACCTAGAATAAACTGGGGATACTTACATATAAAAATTTGACTACCATAAGCTCCTTCATCTTTGATTCCATCACTGCCTTAGAACACTGCCTTTCATACAGTAAGTGCTCAAATATATGTAGAATGAATAAACAGAAGGGAACTATTTCCTTTAACAGAAATAAGCTGTCTTTCACTAAAAAAGTTATACCTGTTTCATACTGTCTGAACCTATTCTTTATCGTAGGTGCTCCCCTCCCCTTGCTAGATTTGTGAGACTCACAAAGCTGTTTCCAGTGACACCTCAGGAGGCCTTACTAGGTCACATAACCTACACCACTAGAAATTTTAAAAACTCTTTTGGATAGTGTAGGCTTTCATTTACCTGGAGTTAAGAGACCTGTACTACATGACCCAGGGACCCATATCAGCTTCAGGTTTTGATAATAACAAAGGAGATCTTTGCAACTCTTGACTAAACCTATTATTCTATCAACATTGTTTTATCAGAAAACCCTGTATTTTCAGTGAACTCCTGAAAATCTTCACTTTCCCTTATAAAAAGGCAGACTCTTTCCAACTAATCTGAATCCCCCTATATGTGTAGCTTGAAATTACATAATCATCATTTACTGACCTTACATAAAACATGACAACAGCAGCAACATCAATTATCACGTATCTCTTTCTTTTGAAAGAATATTACTCTTAAATTAAAACTACACATGAACAATCAAAGTACTCAACCTGTTTTCTAGAGCCAAAACCCAACCCTGGGTACAGCAGTTTCACAGACTTATATAGAAATCTCAACAATGACTGATGTAGTATGCCACCCAATGGATAGACTGACATACTGCACTCATCTCTCACACACACACACACACACACACACACGTTAGCATTTGTAAATCTCCTTCAGGTTACCAAAAACCAGTACAGAGTAACAAAAGAAACATTGAAGAAAAAGGGAAAGTGGTCACAGCAGGGAAAGTACAGCCTTCAAGAGCAATGATACCTGGATACTTCAGTGGCAATTCTGATACATGACCATCTCAATGAGACTGAGGTAGAAAGGTATCAATATGCTTCAAAAGAGTGTGTACTCCCTTCCCAATCTAATACGGGAGCTGGAAAATTATAGTTGGGAACAGAGTAGAATCAGGGTCAAGTCTCCAAGACTGGCCTATATTTCTTAGCCCCTTGCTGCATAGTTCAGTCTTGGAAATTGCTCCCTCAATATGACTCAAATTCAGTCATTAGTTAATGAGTACCTCTAGATGCTTTCATACAAATTCTCATTTAATTCCTTTAGAGTTTTATTAGTTTTGCTCCTAATAGCTTACTTCCTCTTGAGACTTTTTGTTCATGTTCAGGGGGGTCATGGGGTTCTTCCAATATCTACAGGGTTTAATTGTGGAAGAATCACTGAATAGGGGACTTGCACACATGTAGAGATGTCTGTCTAGATGAGAAGCTGAAAAGACCCACCTAAGAAGCAAGAAACAAGGAAAAAAATCAGTAACATTGGGAGAAAAAACAGGAGTCATTTTACCCTATTATGTATTCCATTGTTTCTGTCCTACAACATAATGTTAAGAAGATATCCAAAGCAAAATGGAAAAGTTCACAACCCAGTAGATAAAAGTCACATTACTGATGACTATAGAAGTTTCTACTATTAGAGAGCAACTCTACCTGCCCTATGGCTTGGCTCTGCCAGAAGTGAGAAGCATAACAGAGAGGAGAAAGCAATTCTTAATTAAGAGTCCTGAGTTCCAGTCTCATGGCAGTATAGGGGCAGTCATATATTTCAGTGCTTCAAATACTCCTGATATTTAAGAAAAAGAAATGGTATATTCCTTCTTATTATAAAGACTAACAAAATAATATTGAAGAGGAGCTAGAAGATGAACAAGTAAAGGCTAAAACTATACTTACACTAATAATTTACTCTAGGAAATAATGAACTAGAAGGCTTACCTAATGGCACAAATTTCTAATGGTAATTTTTATATGTGACCAACATGTGTTAGGCCTATAGGACCCCACAGAACTTCAATATTCCTAAACTTAACGAAAGAAACAATGTTTATCTACTCAACTTCACCTTACATTTGTATAGCACATTATGCTTTTCAAAGAGGTTTCATGTCCATTACTTCACTTACACGATTCCTAACATAATGTGAACACGTAACACATAAAAGAGAATTTGTCAGATGACCACCTCAAAAAGTTTTAAAAAAAAAAGGACAGACTTGACATAGCAGTTGTAATGTTGAAAAATTGGGGATACACGCAATACACAATTCTATCAACCCCAAATGGTGTTTCTCCTTCTGAATTCCATGCTAGGCCTTATGAAAAACGTAAAACACGATAACCATACCACGCTTCACAGGAAAACAGAGCCTGAAGTTTACTATCAAAGAGAGACTGTTTTTTACCCACCTGGAAAACTGAAAAACACTGGAATCCAGAGGCTTAGGTTGAAGAGAAGGTGTTCTGCTTTCTTTCCCAACAGATGGAAGCCGGTTAGGACTATCAATTTCCTCATATCCAATTGTCTTATTATTCAATTCATCCATATTTTGAATAGTAGGGATCTTCGGTGGATTAGTGAATATCTAGCAAAAAAGAAATGATTCGTAAAAATCCCAATTTCAACCTAAATACCAAAGGATGAGAGTCAATCCTTCTGATGCTAGGAAAGAATACTTAGCCAAATAAAAAGAAACTGCTTCCTACACAAAACAAACAGCGCACAGTAATGTACACTAGAACACTGAACCCAGGCACGTTCAGTTATAGCCTTATCTGCTGGAGGCCAACAGACCTCCCCAACTCACTTATTGGTTCCTCGAGTCATCCCACCCACAACATAAACCCAAGCCCCCTAGTCAGTGTCTAATTCTCTCTTGTGACCCAGTTTAAGGCTGAGTTTTCACTCCTCTGAGATCTGTGATGAGGGTAAGGGTAGAGGGAATAAGCATTGCAGCATGTATCGGTGCTGGTTTTGGAGAAATGCATGCGAGACATAAACATTTATTCATGGTGCACACACACAGAGACATGCATCTGGGATTTTGTAGGAGAGCCAGCTTATGAAAATAGTATGGATGATGAAGGTGAAGGGATATAAAGGGGAGGCAAACTGAATGAGGACAAGGCAGTCCCAGGAAATCTCCCAATCTCTAGATCAGACTATTAAGCCAAGACATTAAGGCATGAAACCTGAATATTCATATACCTGGGTCTTGGTAGACTGTCAGAAGAAGAATTAGTATTAAATTGCCTCTATCCTCACCAGTCTAGACCTACCCTGCTTGAGTGGGTGGAAGGTGAATCTAACATGCGACTAACAGATATCTCTGGGAAAGAGGGTCAACAGGAAAATCATGCAGAAAGGCAAGGTTGGGAAGGGGGAAGATATATGGGTGCTATGGTGGCTGTCAGGAAAGGAGTGTCCCTGAAAGGACGGCCAACCTTATTGCACCCTTCAGCGTCCGGAGCTGGGCAACCATGTCCGAGAGACAGTGCTCCTGAAAATTCAAAACAGCAGAGTCTTTATAAAGCCAGCCAGCCTGAAAGCAGGGATGGGGGAGGGGCACAAAGAACCACCCCTTCTTCCCAATAGGAAGGAGGAAGAATCACCCCCAAATCTTGGAAGCAAGGAGACTGAGGAAAACCAGACACTCAACAGGAGCAGCCTGTATGAGGATGGAACATAACCCTGATAATTCTGTGACACGGAGGGTACATTCGCACTGTCCAGAATTAGTACTGAATTCAAATCTGGGAAATTAATGATTTGGCTCTTCTATTTTTGGTGATCTGAATATCAGTGACAGCAGATCAAAGCAAAATTAAAAGATGCAATGAAAAAAAGACCACCAGAAGAAATGGTTCATTATTTCTATGCAGCTTTCAAGACTGCTGCTTCCTTCAACCTATATCTTCTGTTGGAAAAAATTTTGTGTGAAAAAAGGAAGAGGGCAGACTGTCTCACCTGGTATGTCTCATTTTCCACTGGCACCTTCTTCTTCTCAACAGTTTGATCTCTAGGAGAGGATAAAAGTGCTATTTAGTTCACCCATGAAATTTCTCAGTCTGAAATAGGTTACCAATTGTAGATTTATGTTATAATGTTCGTTCCAAATTAGAAATAGGGTGGGTCTCACCAAGTAACAAGGGTGCCTTCCCGAACTCTGTTACTGAAGAGAAATTTCAGATTCCCCATCAAAAGACAGAGGGGGAGGGAAAGGAGAGAGACTAAAGACAATCGCTAGTTGAGACACTCAGGAGATGACTAGAAGGAATAAAGAACTGAGAGAACAAAGAGGTGAGGAAGAAAATCATTAAAAACCCAGAAAGAAAGAAAAAAAATCGTCTCTTTTCTCAAAACTCCCTGCCCTACTAGGAAGGGTCAGGCTCCTTTACAGTTTGATACAGTATGATATAAAATACCACCTTCAGTATACTCAACTGTTTCTTAGCTTTGCTCAAGTACAGGCCTTCATCAATGAGTTCTTGTTCCTCTGGAACAGAGCATCTCCTGCAGTACAGAAAAGAAATCATCTTTTGGAAACAAAACGTGCCCTTCACTTTTACCCTTCATTTGCCTCACAACTGTGGCAGGTTAACAACCCTCTCACATCATAGAGTCAGATTCCACCCACATTACAAAACCTGTGCACAGGTTAACATATACTAAGTCTTATTTCAAGGCATATCATCATCTAATTTTTTTTGGGGGGGCGCATATATCACTTTTCTCTCAAGACATTAAAAGTCTTTGACAGCTACAAAATTCCTATTATGGTAGACGACAGGAAACATAACCTCTATTTTTACACAGAGAAGTTCAAGCACAAGAACCTAGGTCTTCTGTCTCTCATTTACAAACAAAGTATTTCCCATGGTGTAGACTAGAAGCATGAAAATCCCTGAACTAGGTGATGATGCCTGAAGACTATTGGAGGCTATGATAGAGAGAAGCAATAAGGGACTAGGAGCTTATATCATAAAAAGAACAGAACAGAGTAGCAAAGAGAAGAAAAAGGAAGACTCTATAAATGAAAATTAACTCCTATATATAAAGCATAAGGAAGAGAATTTTAGAGGAGTAAAAATTGAAAGCAGTACTAGAAAATATATTTAATGGTCAAAAGTAATTCTAGAAATAAATAAAAATTAATAATAATTGGTAAGCCTATACTATACCCATTTTATAAGGGGGCAAAATATCCTCTAAGACTGTGTCCCCTGGACTAAGTGTAAACTGATAAGAGATACAGGTTTCAAAATAAGACTTCTAATCATACAGTCCTAGTTACTCTCCATGGAGAGGTACTTAGGCACAGCTGGAGACTTTGGGGAAATGCTTATTCATTCATTAAAGACTTAGACTTCATTTATTTAATTTCCTCCATTTTAAGCATTTTTTCCTAAAAAAGCATACTCCGTTTTAGGGTTTTGATTCTATCAGCATTTATCCCGAGGGAAAAAAAATATTACATCAAAGCTGAAATGAAGTAAAGCGAATTATTGTTATAAACCTATGTGACACTGAATTAAATAATATTTTTAAATTGAAATGAATGCCCATGGATATGCCAGGTACTATACAGATGTTAGGTGCTACAAGGAACACACGGTGGATTAAGAAGATGAACATGGAAACAAACAGCATTGAATGTACAATAGATACTACAACAGTTTCAGGTATAGGAAGCATATGAAGAAAACCAACTCAACCTGAAATATAAAGTCCTTGTTCTCGAATAACTTATAATCTCTTGAAGAGCCAAAGTACAGACATATGAAAAACATCCCCAAAATACAAAACAGTATGTGAACAGATGTCAAGAATACCACAGGAAGCCAGAGTGAAATTCTATAAACTATTGTCAACAGGAGAAGTATCACACAAAATACTTAAGCATCCCAGATGGATATCATTTGGAAAGGCAGCTAGAATACATAAAGTCATTCTAAGCAAGTGGAATGACACTATCAAGTCATAGAGGAGGGAATAAGCGTGGCACATGTTTGAAACAGTGAAGCCACAGGTCTGGCTAAAGCATAGGGTTTGAGTTAGGGTACAATAAGAATAAGGCTGGATAAGTAGGGTGGGACCAGGTGGCACAGGGGCTTGAATGCCACACTGAAGAGTGTGGACCTGAGATGAAAAGTATTTCAGAATATAGAGACAGATCAGGAGTTATTTCTGGCATAATACTGAATCCTAACCTTACCTGTACTTTGGATGGGAATTATAGTAACAAAACCACCTTGCAGGTAATATAGATGGATCAACCTTGCCAGGAAGCTTCCTCCATTTAAGACACTCGTCACACTGTACCCATGTCTGGTCAGGAACCTTCCTGAGTAAAGGAAAACAGAAGTATGACTGCATTTACCCTAGTTCTGTGCTCTGTCTTAGACTAAGAAAGCACATCTTAAAAATGAAAGAACATAATTTCATATATGAATTGCATTAGAAGTGTTATAGCTTAGGTGTCTAAAACGTATATATCTTGAAATTCACAGAAAAAATAATAATAGAACTACACCAGATATGGATATGAAAAACAGTAACAAATATTAACATGGTGAGCTACCATTATTTATAGAGGTCAATAATATTTATCCTGGAATCTCTTGTTCTAAGCAAGCAAGAGGATAATTTTTTTTCTTTCTTTTAAATTAATTTTTATTCTGATGACTTTGGTTAACAAAATCCAGTAAGTTTCAGGTGTAAAATTTAACAGGAAGGCATATATATATCACACTGAGGCAAGAGGATAATTTTAACTCTGAAATTAATTAACTAGGAAAAATTTTATATATATTACAATAATACCAAGAAATAAAACCCGTAGAACCATTTTATCTGGTTCTATCCAATCCTGTGACAAGTTTAAAATGCATTTGTGCGAGTCTTTGAACAATCATCAAAATGTCTCCCCCATTTCCCTGCAGATCCCTATTCCCATTTTTTTCTTTTCAAAAAAGTTCTTCGTTTATACTTCAGTCAAAATTTTATTAGGTTGATATTCCCAAAGTTAATCTAAAAAAGTAATATAACTTTGATTAAATTTCATAACTAGAAATGGTGGCTCCAGTCCAACAATTGGGTTATGTTATTTAGGTAAATTCTTCCAGAGTTCTATCTTAAAACACATATCCAATCCCATGCCACCCAGGAAGCATAATCCAGTCACCTACACCTTAGAGTGAATTTGTTTCTCTGTGAAAGGAAGTGGTCCATATATAATAGAAGCAGTCAGCATTTAAGGTGTGAAAGGAGTGGGAAGCGGGAAGGCTGGAGAAGAGACACAGAAAGAGGGTAGAGGGGCCCCTAGGACCAATTTGAAAAACATGTAATTTAGCATAGGGTAGTTTTTGTGTATGTCACATTTACATTGCTCTTATACTAGACATTTCAATAGAGTGGTGGATTTTTTATATCTTAGTTCAATATTTTTCTTATCTTTTAAACAGTGCTTTTTTCTAGCTATAAAAGTAATATAAGCTCATTATAGAAAAACTGGAAAATACAGAAAGATATGAAAAGAAAATAAAAGACACTCATAATTCTACCACTCAAATACAATGTCATACACATTTTTGGATATATAGCTTCCTATCTCCTACTTCCAGGCTGCTCCAGCCTTGCAACCTCTAAGCTCTAAGCTCAAGCCTGACCTCTGGTGTCTATATATATATTTCCATACAGCCGGTGTTTTATTTAGAGCCACAGCAGCAAAAAGCAGTTTCAGCAGTAGTGGGAGGGGAGAGAAAAGGTCATATTAGCTTTGGCTTTACATGTATGTGCACAAAAGAGTATCTGGCAGAAGCATGACAGTATTATTCTCTTGGGGACAAACACTAGAGAGAGCAACACTCTGCCTCAGGTTACATGCAGAACATGGTAGAGACTTCCATCCATCCAGATAGGAGAAGCTTTTAGCTTGTGCTTGCAATAAATATGTAGTTAAAGGGGCTATACCATATTCTCCTCATTGTATCCTTCCAGAATAGTGTCATGTAAAGAACTTGGGTTTGGGAGCCTGATAGCCTATATTTGAACCTTAGATCTACCACTTTTACCTGTCTAATCTCGAGCAAGGTACTTAAGCACTCAGTGTATCCGTGTTTACATTTGTTAAGAATAATATCATCTATCTCATAAGGTTGTTGTGATAAACAAATGTAAATACAAGTAAAGAATTTAGACCAGTGCCCTGATATATAAGTACTCAATAAATAACAATCATTATTACAACTCTGCCTCCAGAAAGACTATATAACATACATATACCTATTCCAGCAATGTATGAACATCTGTTTCATTGCATTAATCACTGCTTATTTGAAAGGCCGAAAAATGGCATCTCATCTTAGTTTGCATGTTTTTGAAAACCATGGAGGTTGGACATGAGCAAGATATTTAGAATAAAATACTGATATTCAAGCAGTAATCAAGTTGTATTTGAAACAAAAATTTTATATCATACATTTTTCTGATGATTTCCATTAAAAAAAAAACACAGGTGGAGCCTAACTCAAAATGAACTTTTAACACTTTAATATTTGTCTCGATGGTGGTGTCACTGACTGCGTCTGTGTTGTTACACATTCTATCTTCTGTATTATGCTCCTTTCCTGGCCTACTGAGGCATTCCATCCTGATTCTGTGTGTAATTACCTGTCTTAGAGTCAATAAATTCTATCTTTTTTTCTGATATACGGGGTTCTCTACTTCTACTCTCAAATTCCTTGGTATAGTTCCAACAATGTCCATGAGGAATAAAGAGAAGAAAAGTTTGCTAACATTTCTGAATACTTACTATATGCTAGGCACTGTGCTAAAAATGTTATATCATCTAATTTAATGTACTCAAAGAGGTAAAGTGACTTACCCAACTATTAAGAAGCAGATTCAAACCACACAACTGTTAAACCAGAATGAAGAGGTCTAGAAAATGATGAAATTAGTACCTGTGATTTCCCAATTTTAGTTATTAAACCTCCTTATGTGAAAAGCACCATCTTACCTTTATTCCTTCCATTTGCTCTACGAACATTATCCCTGATACTTTTATATTCTATATTTACTACTCACGGTATTATCCTGGCTATGGCTGAGGTCTCAAAATTCTCTTGGGATGTCTTTTCTTTCCAATAAGCATTGAGCTTCTGGGCAAGGGCATTTATTGTCAACCTGAAAGAAAAAGTAAAAAGCAGCATGTCAATGTTGAGGATTTGTTGAACAAGAATTTAGAATATTCATCATAGGTTTGAACATACTTAAAGGAACCAGAATAGGAATCCACTGCCTTGCAAATTATATGTTATAATGTTAAATAGTCACTTTGGTTGAAAAGGTAAAATGGTCACAAGTCCTAAAAAGTACCATGTTCTCCAAATTTTCAGGGCTTTTCAAATCATGAGGGGTGGGGAGTTGACATAAGAGACAATGACAGAGGACTAAATTGCAGAGCTAGGATGGAGCCAAATACGGACAAGTTATTTGATTGTCAGATGACTACAGGTAAACAATTCAGGAACAAGTTGAAAGTCAGAGGATCAAATACTGCACCCTATTACAGATCAATCAAATACAAACCTAAAAATGTCTACACGGTTTCTCTTCATGCAAATGCCAATCAGAACAGTTATAGCACCAACAGGCAAGAAAAGTCCCCTTCAAACCACTGGAGGCTATACCCAAGTTCTGGCTGTGCTCCAGGGTCAAAAAACATAATGTATTTAAGTCAAAACAGGAATTTTACTTTTAAAAACTGCCAATTTCTAATGACTAATTCATACTTAATTCTATAACCCAGGATTACAACTTAATGTAGAGCTGTATACACCTGAAATACCATCAATTTGGTATGTTTAAAAATCTCTTGACTCCTTGGATCGTTTCCAACGTTTTTGCAGACCTCTTCTCTCCTTGAGGGGAATTCTTCCTTACTTCAGCCTTACTCATATTAAATTAGATTCTGACTACAGAGAGATCAAAATAACCATACATGAGCTGCTCCCCACATCAACTCCTATTCCCCTCCGACCTCCAAATGTTCCTACCTCTATGTTTATATCCTTCTCTCAAGGATAATTAGACAGGATTCTGGGAAGATGATGGAGGAGAAAGTACCAGGAATCTGACTCCCCACCTAGACAACAATTGTACTAGCAGAACCTTTCTGATGTAACTATTTGGAACTGTGGCATCTATTGAAGGCTTGCAACTTCCATGGGAAGGCTTGGGTGGTAAACTGGCAAATTTCAGCTCTTAGTATAGTAGCAGCTATGATCCCTTACTCCCAGCCCAAGGGCAGGCAGTTGTGCACACATACTAAGAGCAGCAGCCTGCAGGAGCCAGGGTGGGTAAAAAGGACTCTGACCTTCAAATATCGGGGACCGGTGCTCTGATCGCTATTTGCTGCTCCTGATCACAGGATCATGTATCCCCATGGTAACCACAAAGAAAATAGCTATAATATGCACAAAAGGAAATGAGAAGATTTAAATGTTTCACTATGAAAAATGAATTGAGAACAAAAGAAGACAGTAATGCAGAAAACAAGAGTCAAAAATCTATAAAGCATACAGAAAACTAATAGCAAAATGACAGAAGTCCCTCCTTATCAGTAATTACTTTAAGTTAAATGTAAATGGATTAGACTCTCCAATCAAAAGACAGAGATAGGTAGAATGGGTTAAAAAAAATGATCCAAATACATACTGTCTACAGGAGACTAACTTGAGATACAAAGACACAAATAGGTTGAAAGTGAAAGCATGGAAAAGGATATTCCACGTAAATAGTAACCAAAAGAGATTCAGGGTAGCTATACTAATATCAGACAAAATACAGCAGTCTCCCTTTATCTGTGGTTTTGATGTCTGCAGTTTCAGTTACCCATGGTCAACTGTGGTCCAAAAATATTAAATAAAAAATTCCAGAAATAAACAATTCTTAAGTTTTAAATTGTGTTCTGTTCTGAGTAGCAGAATGACATCTTGCACTGTCCCACTCCATCCCACTCAGGATGTGACTTATGCCTTTGTCTAGCATATTCACACTGTGTGTACAATATCTAAGATATTTTAAGACATCACATCCATACAACTTTTATTAGAGTATATTATTCTAATTGTTTATTTTATTATTGCTGTTGTTAATCTCCTGCTGTAGCTAATTTACAAATTAAGCTTTACCATAGGTATGTATGTATAGGAAAAAACATAGTATATATAGGGTTTGGTATCATCCATGACAGCAGGTGTCCATAAGGGGTCTTAGAACGTATCCCTCATGGATAAGGGGGGACTACTGTCCACTATAAATCACTATAGCTAAAACGTGGAAGCAACCTAAATGTCCATTAATGTTTGAATGGATGAGCAAATGTAGTAGATACACACAATGGAATATCATTCAGCCTTTAAAAAGGAAAGAAATTCTGACATACACTACAACATGGATGAGGCTTGAGGACACTATGCTCAGTGAAATAAGCAAGTCACAAAAAAGACAAATACTGTACTATTTCACTTATGCGAGGTATTTATAGTAGTCAAAATCATAGAGACAGAAAGTGGAATGGTGTTTGCCAGGGGCTGGTGGCGAGGAGTGAGGAATTGTTGTTTAATGGGTATAGAGTTTCACTTCTGCAAGATGAAAATAATTCTGGAGATAGATGGTGGTGATGGTTGTACAGCAGTGTGAGTGTACATAGTGCCACTGAACTGTACGCTTAAGAATGGTTAAGATGGTCACGTTGAATATATTTTTCCACAATAAAAAAATTGAAAAAAGGAAGTAGGTATGTTGTTGTCAGAGGTTAGAGAGAAGGAGAAATGTGTTGTGACTGCTAATAAACAGGGATTTCTTCTGGGGTTATGAAAGTTTTGGAGATAGATAATGGTGACAGTTGCACAATTTTGTGAATATATGAAAAACCACTGGATTGTACACTTTAAAATGGTGACCTTTAAAGTATAAGAGCTGTATCTCAATTGAAAAAATAAACCTCTGTTCTCATGTACTCAAGTAAAATTTACTGAGGTAAAATTTACATAGAGTAAAATTCATCTTTTCAAGTGTGTAGTTCTATCAGTTTTGACAAATGCATGCAGCCATGTAACCACCACTTTAATCAAGATACAGTTTTTCATGTATTTTGAAACCTCATTCTTTATGACAAAAACCCTGGCTCCACCCTACTATTCTATTAATCACCTTCTTTTTACTTTCCAAATACTGGTATATGTGGTCTATATCCACTACCTTGTTCTCTACATTTTCCTGTCTTAATCCTCTACAATCTAGTTTCCACCATTGTCACTCCATGACACTGTTCTTTTTCTCATCCTCATTATTCTATCAATGATCCCACCAATATCACAATCTACTAAATTTGAGACTTTGAAGCGACCTTTGATTCTTCCCTCTCCTTTATCTCCCATATCCCATCATTGATATATCACTAAATTCTTTTCATCTTATTTTCATAGTATCTGTCATATACTTCTTTTTTCACAGCTACTCTTATTTCAGACCTTCACCTCACAGTTAGATTACTCCAACAGCCTTTAATCCTTCCTTTAATCCACCTCACTCCCTGTTGCCAGATACATCAACTGACATAATTCATGTAAAGCACCTTATAAACCATATATCAGTATATAAGTACAATATACACTTGACTTTTGAACAACGTGGGTTTGAACTGTGCAAGTCCACTTATACATGGATTTAATTTTTTTCTAATCTGCACATAAGTGCAGTTCAAACCCACATTGTTCAAGGGTCAACTGTAATTTTGATCCATAGTTGAGAATCCATATATGGGAAGGGCCAATTTAAGTTATATGTGGATTTGTGACTGTCTGGGTGGTTGGCGCCCCTAACCCCTTTGTTGTGCAAGGGTCAACTACTATATTCTTAAGATAGTGTGTCCAGTCACTCCTTTATTCAAGAATACACAATGAATTCTCATTGCATAAAGCATCAACTACTACTACAGAATGTCCCTCTATGACAGTTCTCAAACCTTCTTGGTTCATGGCACCCGTAGTGTCTCAAGTTTTTCATGGCACCCTTAAGTCAAAAGAAATATGTACCCGTTACATTTATTAAATAGTTAGGTACAAACAACTTAGTAAGTATTATGGACTAAAATCTAGAATCCATTTGAAAAAATGATACATATAAGTTGAAAAAATATTTCTATTTCATTCATAACCACAACTGTTTACTAATGGGAAGTGTATGCCTGTCAGGTACTGTACAATTTCTCAAACCTTGGAATCAGATTGGACACAGCTTTCTTCATTTCTTATTTGATATTGATTTTCATGTATTACTTGTTTTGTATCACAGCAACCACTGAAAACCCAGTTTCACAAAGATATGAAATAACCAAAAGGAATGCAGCAGATTTTGGTACATGGAATTGGGGGTAAAGCTATAACAACAACAACAACAACAACAAAAAACTAAGAATGTGGAAGGTCCTTTAGGATTGGACAATGGGTAGAGGGTGGAAGAATTTGAGGCACATGACAGAAATAGCCTAGAGTCCTTGAACAGACTGTTAATAGAAATACGGATATTAAACACCCCACTGGTGAAGGCTCTGAAGGAAGTAAGGAGCATGGTAGAGAAAACACAAATTTCCTTAGAGAATACCAAAATCATTGTGAATGGTCTGTTAGTAGAATTATAGATGTTAAAGGTATTGCCGGTAAAGGTTCAGAAGGAAATGAGGAACATGTTATTGGAAAATTGGAGGGAAGGTGATCCTTGTTATATAGTGTTAGAAAGCTTAGCAGAATTGTATCCTACAGTTATGTGGAAAGCAGAACTTGTAAGTGATGAAACATTTAGCTGAGGAGATTTCCAAGCAAAGCGTTGAAAGTGTGGCTTGGTATCTTCTTGCTGCATATGTAAAATGTGAGAGGAATGACAGAAACTGAAGGAAGAACTGTTCAACAAAAAAGAACCAGGACTTAATGATTTTGGAAATTATCAGCCTATCGAGATTATAAAAGATGTTACAATTTTAAGATTCACTGTCAAGAAAGCATGCTCTAGAGAAAAAAGCCAAGCCTCTGACTGGACAACCTTTTGCTAGTATCTCAGAAAGATCAAAAAGTCAGAGTATTCAGTCATACAAAAGCTCTTTGAAAAGATTAAACATATGACTCGGATCTCAGCAGAAGCTAAGAACAGAAATAGGATTATCTAGGAAAGACCTGTCAGGAGCCTCTTATCTGATGGAGTGAATATCCATGACATACATGTGAGATCCACAAGGTTCTTGAGATAGTATACTAGCACAAAAACTACTAGATTAGACTAAAAGGGATGAAGACAGTAGAAAATGAAAGAAGGCCTTTAGACCTCCAAAAATCTCTAATCAGGAAACAGGCTGATGAAACTACTTAGCTGCAAACACATGCTACTCTTCATGAAAAATGAAAGATGATGCTGAGGGTGGAGCCACAAGCCCAAAGGGTAGAACCTTAAATCCAGAATATGAAGCTACAAGTCTCAGAAGATAATTCCCAGGCCTTGAAATTTAATGGAATTAGCTTGGCTGGATTTTGAAATTGCTTGGGACCAGTGACTCCTTTTTCCTTCAACTTTCTTCCCATTTGAACTGGAATATCTATAACTGGTATCCTATGCCTCACCACTGTATTTTGGAAGCAAAATTAAAAAAAAAATAAGACATGTCTATAGATGGAGAGTAATTTTACCTTAGGATGCATCAGACTCAGAGTATTGGTGAATACCTGATTTATATGATGAGATTTTGGAATTTTGAGCTGATGACATGGAGATGGGAGTTTAGACTTTGAGTTGCTGTAATAGTTGAGATTTGGGGAGATGTTGGGATTTTTCATGTGAGATGTAGGTGGATCTTAGGGGGCCAGAGGGCATACTGTGATAGGTAGAATAGTAGTCCTCCAAAGATCGTCTATGTCATAATCCATGAAATTTATGAATCTATTAGGTTACATAGCAAGGGGGAATTAAGGTTGCAGATGGATTTAAGGTTACTCATCAGCTGACCTTAAAATCGAGAGATTATCTTGAATCATCCAATGTAACCATTAGGGCCCTTAAAAGTGGAAAAGTGAGGCAGAAGAGTCAGAATCAGATATGTAATGATAGAAGCAAGGTCACTGGTGTGATGCTATGTGAACAGGACTCAACCTACCACTGCTGGCTTTGAAGATGGAGGAAGAATTGCCATGGGACAAGGAATGCTGGCAGCCTCTAGAAGCTAGACAAGACAAGGGAATAGATTCTCCCCTAAAGCCTCCAGAAAGAAATGCAACACTGCCAATACCTTGACTGTACCTCAAAGAGACCTATATTGGACTTCTAACCTACAGAAATCTACAATAATAAATAAGTGTTATCTTAATTCATTAAGTTTGTAGTAATTTGTTACGACAGTAATAGAAAACAATTTCTATTATTTATAAACAGAAGACAAGTATCACTTCACTGTCCTCAAAATTTTAAAACATCCTGTGGCTCCCCTTTGGGTTCAGCTCAGCATAGTCTTGGAACTGTGGCTCTAGTACAGGGGTAGGCAAACTACAGCGTGTGGGCTAAATCTAAGCCATTGCCTGTTTTTGTAAACAAAACTGTACTGGATACAGATGCGCTCATTCCTTTACTTATTATCTGTGGTTGTTCTCATACTATGGCAGAATTGAGTGAGTAGTTGTGACAGAGACCACATGGTCCACAAAGCCTAAAATATTTACCTCCTGATCCTTCACAAGAGAATTTTGCCAATCTGTGCTCTAGGATACAGCCCTACTCTATCCATCTGTCTTTATTTCCCTCTCTCTAGTTACATCCCTCTAACTTCACTCCCCATATTCTTATCATTCTGAGTTCCGGTCACTACCTTAGCTCATGCTGTAATTCCACCCTGGCTGTCCCTCCCCTCCCTTTTCTAACTCCTGTATCCTTTAAGGCAAATCCTAAGTCATACCTGCTACCTAAAACCTTCTCAATCTGTTCTCTCAGGGCATTTTTCCTATACCACACCACTTAAGTTTTGATTGATCAAAAAGCAATTTTATTACTCTCTAAATTGTTTCATGTATGTGGCAATCCATGATTACAAACAGACTATAAGCTCCTCAAAGACAGTAACCATATCTTGAATTTCTTAGCCAATTCCACCAAGCCTAGCCACTGTGCCTGCAACAGCGGACTGTTCAGTTAGTATGTACTGGTTGTGTTTCTTAGGCTGAAATTTTGTAAGTTTGAGCTCTAATAGTTGCAACTGAAATCTGATATCCACAACTATTAAAAGTAATATTACAGATGATTCATCTGTAGACATTCCAGCAGTATGATGGCTGGTATCTCTTTCAGCAGTTGCAGTTATGGTATCTATAACACTCTTAAGATGAGTTTGTGAAAGCAGACAACCTTCTATAATCCCCTTTTCAAATTCTCTTATCTTTTTGAACTAAACAGTTTCATTTTATATTTTAAAAATTGAGTAAAAAAGAAAACATGATGCCAGAATTGGGATAAGGGTTATACAAATTTTTATCCTCAAAAGATGCTATGTGTGGGATAGTATACTAGTTTTTGTTTTTAATAAAGTGTGTAGCAGATATTAAGCTACCTAAGCCGGAAATCCTGTATGTCAAACTGAATAAACCTACTGGCGATGAAATACATTTGGATCCCCTGCAATCACCTCAAACTCATCATATTGAACCTAAACATTACAAACCAAGGGTCCAATACCTCTAAAATTTAAAAGGTAGATGAGGGTTTGACAAAGATGGTATAGGAAAGATGTTAATTTTTTAATATCTAAAATTTGAATTTCACAAATCTTAACTCTTAGCTTAATCACCAGAAAAATCACTATTCCTTTTACTCAAGAGAAACAGAATGCCTTGACTCTGAGACTTTTATCAAACGATGTCATTTATAAACTTTCAATCTTAAGAGTCAAGTCCTAGTCAAAAATCTCCACTACGGGCCAGACTCATAGTTAAAAGACCATTTTACTTTAAAACTGAGGGTCAGTAGTTACCATAACCATTGAGTAGCCGTAGTGACCAAGAAGCAATTATCCTGAAATTAATTTGGGGTTGCCATCCAAACAGTTGTCTCTCTGTCAAGCACTAAACCTAAAATTCTTATGGTTCCAGATAAATTAAGGTACAACATTTAACTAATTTTGTTATAGTTTGGGGCACACAAAAAAAGGAAATCTGAGGAATTACTTTTCCCACACTCTTAAGAAGAAAATTTCTACTGAGACTTTCAAGAAAATGACATAAAATGTTCTGCCTTCTTTCTCCATACTCCAAGAACACCTCTTGCCCTTTAATGTCCTTGCATATACTTCCCTTTGCATAGAATGTCCTTGCCCCATTTGTCCATCCAGCAAACTCCAATTGTTCCCTCAAGTTTGAGCTCAAAAATGATCTGCTTTGTGAAGCCTTCCTCGACTCTTTTAGGCATAATTAAAGTTTCTTCCCATTTTGTATATCTCTTCCATTAAAACAATCATTTTATAGGTATTTAACTTTCTTATTTGCATATATCTCATCCCATTTGCTCATATTCTTCTTTCATTTGTATGTCCCTAGTACCTGGCACATTCCTCCCCCAAAGTTTTAAAACAAACTATTACATCCTGACTTTACTATCTCCCAGTTCCTTTCTGAGTCTTACCTGTTTGTCTTACCTATTAAATCTAGATATGTCCATGAAAACACATGTCTTTCCTGCTCCTTCAGTAGTTTCCTCTCAATCTGTTCAATGGCTTCAAGAAAATCTTTTAGAACAAACTTCAAACTGCTGGTTCTTTTCCCCAAAATATATTCAATAACTTCAGGTCCACTCATCTCTTTTCATTATGATAATTCTAAGGCTCTTTGTTTCACCAGAAGTATGTTACTAAATGACTCCTATGCTCTTTCAATAATTTTTAAAGGTGAGGTTTATCTCCACTGGGCTCCATATATCATGTATCAGTAAGCTTTAATTCAAAAATAAAATCATTTTATCTCTAATCTTAGAAAATAGATTTGAAGGAATTCTCAGTTAATTTATCTGCCTGGTTTTTTTAGAGACATTTTTAGAGGTTTCAGAGAATAGAATCATATCTGAACAAACTATCAGAAACACTTCAGGTTGGGAGTGACTCACCGGTACTCCTTGGTGTACTCAAAGTCTTGTTTGTTGTAGGCAGGTTTTAAGAAATTGCACTCAATGACTCCGATTACTCCCACACCTTCTCCATGAGTTGGCTTAGAAGAAAAATATTAATTTCAACACTTACATTACTGTTGACTGCCTGGAGGTACTTCCTTTTGATTCCAAACAATAATAAAGAGGTTACATAACATTCATGGGCAAGGAAAGGACAACAAGATCTAGAGAAACACTCAGAATGTACTTCTGGAACCTCTAGCAAACTCTAGGGCAGAGATTTTCAAACTATAACCCACAGCTTCCCTAGGGTTTACCAAGGATTAATAGTCTTCTCAACTACACCCACACTACATCCACTTTCATCTGTTTTATGTTCTGGGATTGCCATAAGATTTCATTCAAACAAAAAAAAATGACACTGATAAAAAAATCAAGGTTATATACTACTGTTCTAGGGAACTGAAACCACACTTCATCTGAAAATAATTTTAAGGATGCTACGTAATCATCACGCTCTATTAAAATAAACAATTTTTTTTATATATGTAGGCTGCCAAATAACTACAAGTTGAGTCAGACTTACAGTGGTTATTTATTACAAGTTGATACAAAAGGTTTTTGAATTTAAAATCTTTTTTTCTTCTTTAATGGAAGGAACTGAGTCAAGGTGTAATTAGGCTGGCTCACAAACATGAGTTGTGTAAAGATGATATAACAGGAAGATCAGCATAGGCTGAAGACTAGCTATTCTGGTTCTTATATAACTTTGTCCTACTGTGTAATGTAAACTAGTTTATCATTCTTTGTGCTTTAGCAATCTTATCTGTAAAATCAGAATGGGATACTTATGGATATTCCTACTTTAAATTGTCATTAAAACATTGAAGATGATGGTAATATTTGTATAGCTCACTTTCTAAAGTATTTTCACATAATTTATCCCATCTAAATCTCTCAACTCTGTAAGTTGTAAGGTAGGCGAGGAGGTATAATTATTATTGTTGTTTCCATTTTACAGATAAGGAAAATGAGCCTCTGAGAAATTAAACAATTTAGCCAAGGTTGCACAGGTTCTACGTGGAAAAGTCGAGACTCAAATCCAGGTCATCAACCACTAAATTTTATGCATCTTCAACTCTGCCTTATTGTCTCCCCAAGAAAATATAAATAGCTACCTTCATGGCACACATGGAACATATGGCAGAGTTGCTAGTGTTCTAATCCTACTTCTTATTAACACCTAACTAGAGGATGTATTCTGTAAAGTTCTTGGGTTAATTAATATTTATTAAGAATGAGAAGTAGAGGTTTTCAACACAAAATGGCTCACTGGAAACACAGAATTCCAGAATCAGATTTAACAACCATTGATGGGAGTAAAAGCCATTAATGACTTATCCCCTTAGGACATTTTAAATCCTCTTCCTACTCTTTTCAGTTTCCTGTGACAAAGAAACATTAACCACTCACCTTCACCTGGCATCCCACCTTCTCGAAGGACTTTATGAGTCGGTTGTTATGATACATCATTACTCCAAATTGGTTATTATTCTTGCAAGAGAACCCAAAAGTTATTTTCACCTGCTTATTCTGAGAAGAAAATCATTAAGGAGACAAACACCAGGGGCTTTAGCAGACAAAATGTTGTGCTCTATTATAGCAAAGAACATCAAACACCATTGAATGTAAATTGGTACAACCTTTCTAGAGGGCGTTTTAAAAATCTGTAGTAATAGCTTTAAAAATGTTCTTAACCTTTGACCAAGTAGTTCTTTTTCTAGGAATTTATCCTACAGAAAGAGTCAGGGAAGCCCATAAAGGTTTCTGAGTTACAGAGATTTACCAATTAGTTACAATGCAGAACAATATAAATAATTTAAATATCTGACATTAAGGGATGATTAAATAAATGTTGGTATATCCACATGGTCTATTATGCAGCTTTAAAACTATGTCCTTGAAAAATATTTGGGAATAGTTCAGAATATATCAACATGCAATATCTAAAAATATGTATATATAAACATATACATAGAAGACTGTGAGAAAATATACTGAAATGCCATTGGTGATTTAAAAATTCATAATCACGAAACATTTCTCAACCTTGCTACTTGCTCAGTTTACTGCTAGGTCTCTCAGATTCTGATAAAGAGTTGTAAAATGGTAGAACACAAACCTACACAAGTATGAGCAATAAGATAAGACCTGCTAATCATTCCAAAAAAATGAAAGTAAAAGCACCAAGAACCAAATCACTTTTAAAGGTAAAATGCAGATGAATAGTCCTGTTGTAATATATTTCATGGAAAGAAGTTAACAAGCTTGGATAGATGAAATAAAGAGAACTAATTATTATACATAAAACAAGAACAATGATGAGTCATTAACTAGTCTTATTTGATTTATAAACCAAAGTAAGAGTGTGAGAAAGATAAAGGGGAGATAGAGAAACCGAGATTTTCATTAAAACAATTACTAAGAAATCTTCATGTCCAAATGAGTTAAAAATTTATTTTTGTTACACATTCAAAAATGATATCCATGTGACAAATGGGTTAGGCATGATATGAAGTCATAATATAAGTGGGTACATAACACGGCAATGTTTGGCTCAGAACATATAATATTCTGGGCTCCAGAAGCTCAAATCAAACCTGAAGAAAGACTCTATTCCAATGCAAAAACTAAACAGCACAAAACTCCCCCCAAATAAACAAACTAAAACTCTACACTATAAAATTAACATTTTAAAGATAAATGTTGTCAAATTTTTTCTATCGTATACTTTTAAAATTCTAAATTATAGGGTGGGAGGACCTTATAATAGGAGGTAGGAGGTTCCCCAAATTAGTACAAGGAGAGAGGGCAAGAGGAGGAAAGAGGCCTTTGATAACTGAGGAATAAATAAATCAGCATCAGTGCTCTTGTCCCTCAGTGATCTTGGGGTAAATTTTATTAGGAGTTTCATTTCGTTCTTGCATGTAGTGAATTTGTTTTACCCAAATTCTATCAGAGAAGGTAACTAGTTTAATAAGAAGGGGGAGTTAAAGAGTTAAGGTATATATAGAATGCATGCTTAGGAGTTGCCTTGATAGAAACCCATAACAGAAAGAAGCTGGTGACAGAAACATGGTAAATATCCTGAACCAGTAGTTGGAAAACTGGCTTTTGACTGGCTTTGTTACACCTACGGCACTAAGATCCTAGCCTACATACAGTGATATTATAACTAATTTACCAACAGATACTAATATCACTAGCTTTGTTAAGTTAGGTTTGTCTACAGCTTAAAAAAAAAAAAAGAAAGAAAAAAAAGAAAAACTTCTCTTAGTAGACAAGGTATTGTTCCCCAAAAGGAGAAAATCAATCTGCTTACGAGTAACAATAACACAGCTTATTAAAAGAGACTAACAATTCCTAATTATTGGTCAAGGGAATAAACACAAAGCAAGATAAATAATGTGTTTGATAAAGTAAACAAGAGTGTGTTTCTTAGTCCAAGAGCTGTGCTTAGTTACTAGGAAATAACTTACAATAGCGATTCTTCATAACTGCTTACTAGTTCTCAACCTTTTAGTCTTTTTTTTTTTTTGCTCGAAAAGCCATCAACATAGATGACCCTAATTTCCCTAATCTTAAAGTTTTCCCAAATGTCTGAAATTCATTCCCAGAGCAATGGTGGGGGTAGAAGTGAAAATGAGTAATAACTTCTCTGAATGGCTGCCATTATGAGAAGTACGAGGAAATCCATTATCGACCTCTAATTTCCACTATTCTAACTTCCATCAACATGAGTATGGACTTGTCATGACAAAAATCACACTGTATCCAAAAGATCAAAACATTCAAGTCAACATTCTGCTTACTTCAATAAATGTAATATATAACAAAATTCTAATACAAACCAAATGGTGTGGGTCTTAAAGCAGAGATTCTCAAATTTGGCTACTCATGAGAATCAGCTGAGAATTTAAAAATAAATGTTTCTTGTTAAAAAAGAGATTTCAGAATCTGAACCAGAATCTTCAAAGTCTCAGACTTCTGTATTATTTTCATAATTTCTAGGTGATTTCTGATAAAAATGGTGCATAGATTGATACTTAATAAATACCTCCACAGAGTACACTGTAATAGGATTTGTACTATAACACATACTTTAGAATTGGAAAAGGAAAGGTTTTTGTTTTTCTGTGCCAGCTTTGAAATCTAATCCTGAAATGAAGAGATAAACTTCACATAGTTGTAAGGATACTGTGAATGTAGGTTTATATATATCATATGCCACATTGGCCAGGCTCTTGGCAATCAGCTGGGTAGTCACCTTCTTTTGACGCAGAAAAATTTTCATTCGTGGCTTCATATACAGAATACTACAAAATGCCTATGGAACAGTAAAAGGAAAGTTAATATATGATATTGCCAATTCTACTGACATTCCCATAAAACACAGCTAGCAACTGAGGACTATTCTGGGCAAAGATTTAGCTCAGTTTCTATATCTTGTTATACAATGTCAAATTCCACACTAAAGTGCTGCTGACTACATTCACTAAACTGCTTCGGTGGAGACAGTGAAAAGGAATCCTAACACAGGGCTAAAAGGCTGTCATCTCTCTGTAACTAAAGGGAGATCCTGTCCTATAGATTTTCATGTTATAGGAAATCTTACCTCTCATTGTTGAAGAAAAACCACTCTTACTCACCCGTAAAGAATACTCTGTTTCTGGCAGCTCAGCAGTAACACCACCAGTCTCTTTTTCTTCTGTGCCAAAGTCTGATACCAGGATGTCATATTGATCTGTATCAAAGTCCAACTCAGACTTTCCATCTTTATTTCTGGGTAAAAGAGACAAGTACCAATCTAACAAAAACTGGCTCCAAAGGAAAAAAATGCACTAGGAACCCAAGAGAAAAGAAACAATATGAGCCCAAAACTCAGATACCTATTTCCTTCCCTGACTACCCGTGCTTAGGAAGTGCAAATTACTTGGTTTGAAGACCACACAATATTTATGGTATTTCCAGTCTAAACAAATCTACTATGTCTCATAGGTGGCAATGCTAAGTACAGAAAGAAAGGGAAAAAAAGGAAGGTGGGTATGTATGTGATCGAATAAATCAAGTGGCTGTCAGCTATCCTCAAAAAAAGGAACTTATAATAGATCCCAACTTTCAGGGTATTGTTGGGTAGGTCATTCAACATAATTTTCCCTAACAATAAATAGGTGAATCAAAAGCTACTTCTTCTAACTTCAGCAATAGTATAAGGGCTAATGAGATATCGAGATTCCCCCAGATCTAATCTTATTTCGTAGAAGGAAAAAAATAAAAGGTTATAGAAACAGCATATATTTGCCAGTCCTCTAGAGTATCATTTATGGAATTATCATTAAAATATAATAGTATTCATGTTCCTTTCATAAAGACCTTTCTTCTTCTCATAGTCCTTTTGGGCCACTTAACTTTGGTCCATTCCAAGGCCCTGGACTATATCACTAACAACTTCAGGAGAAAAAGCCAAGACTCATCTTTGTTCCTAGAAAAAACTTAAAAAAAAATGATGGGTTATGGAGAAAACATATATAGCAGAACAGTTTCTCAAATTTGTTCTGTGGAACAGTAGTCCCCCAAAATACTCTTAAATGAGGGCAGGAGGCGGGGAGGGAGAGAGAGAGAGAGATAGAGAAAAAAGAAGAAAGGGAAGGGAAGAGAAGGGAAGAAAGAGGAAGAGAGAAAGAGAAGAGAGAAGAAAGGAGGGAGGGAGGGAGGGCAAAAGAGGAGGGAGGGTGAGAAGAAGAAAGAGAGGAAGGCGGAAGGGAGAAGGGGGAAGGGGGAAGGAAATGGAATGGAAGGGAAGGGAAGGGAAGAAGGAAGGAAAGAAGGAAGGAAAAGGAAGGAAAATGGAAGGGAAGGGAAGGGAAGAAGGAAGGAAAGAAGGAAGGAAAGAAGGAAGGAAAGAAAGAGAAGATAGGTTGGTTGCATGAGCAAATAAAATTGAGAAATAATTCCAGGCTCTCAGAACCACCTCAAAGGTCTAGTGATACCTCCAGCCATACTTTAGGTTCTGCAAGCTCTCAGAACTGCTGTGGTGAAAATGCAGCTCCTTCTTCAGGGCTGGACCATAGCCATTATGGTATGTAGCTTGTATAAAGCCCATGTCACTACAATATTCTGGATTTTCTAGGATACTCCTGTTTGTTGCTACCTACTCTAACACATACTCTGAGGAGGTTCCTTGTCCTCCTTGCCCCTCATCACTCACCATCCAAAGAAAAGGGATCTGGAAAAACATTTTTTGAAACTGGAAAATACTGCAAACCATATTGCTCTCTTAAATATCTTCAATGCATAATGTAGTAACATTTGCATATTAAAGCCTCTGAGAAGTCCTATAATTAAGCAACACGGTAAACTTGGTTTAAGCCAGCTTTCCCCAAAGTTAGTTGACCACAGAACCCTTTATTTATATAACACCCAGTACCATATAACTGAGAAACAATGTATGAAGAAAACAGTCTTTAATGTGTTTAAATCACTGGAAATACCTCAGAAAAATGATCCTTTATATTATTTGAGGTTTTCTCAGTAGGACAAAGGAAGATCTAAATTAGCAATGTGTGAAAAACCTCCTTAATTTTTTTTAGTTGAAAGTACTTTCTATAAAAACCAGCATGGTTTTTACATAAGTTTAACTCAGCTAAAAAATGAGGTGAAATTCTTGACTCAAGGAGAAAAAGAATGAATATATCTGATACCAGTAACATCTCTATTTTATATGAAAGGCTTTTAAGTTTAGTGGTCACAAATGTATTCTACTTGACGTGATTAAACAAATGATGTAGCCTAGAGTATTTCTAGATTGTTTTATTAGCTCTCAACACATTACCTGAAACCAGCCTCATTATAGTTCAAATTTATCTGTTTCAAAGATTTTTCTACTTCTAATCCAGATACTCTAAAACACTAATAATACCGACGTCATTATTTTTAAAGATCAGGTTGTGCTTTGTTACCCTAACTAATGTCGCTTTGTGTACTTCAGTTTCATTGTTAAATAGGTTAAACTATCACTTACCTACATCAAAACAGTGTTTATGGATATAAAATAGATATTTATAATGGATTCTGAAGATTTTAGAATAACATTGAACTACATTGATTATCTGTGACAATAATAGCCTCAGGATATGCATGTCTCTACCTTATCAAGCTCCACATTTTACTAATAAGAACCACTACCTCAAATAGAGCTAAGAAAATTATGGAAAGGACGCAATGAGATATGAATACGTATCAAAATTTATCTACTCTGCCTCTCTAGAGATTAAAATGTGCTTCATCATATTATTTTTGCTTATTAGACTGTATCACTCTTAGAATACTATACCTGCGGATATTCCAAATGAGAACACGAGTGCCTTTTTTGCCTGGGATGGCATCAAACTGGGACAGCAGGTCATTTTCTCTGTTGAAAATTGAATAGTTCAGGATGGCTTCTAGGCTGGGCAAGGAGTCCTCAGTAATAATCATTTTTTGTAAAACCAAATATAGTCAAAGGAAAATTAATATTTTAAGAGGATGCTATCGGCTAGGAAGATTTACCTTTTGGGTTGCATGTTTGGACAAAATATAAACAGAGACATAAAGCATGGGCATTACTGCTACAAAAGAAAAGAAAGGGTAAAATAAAAAAAGGTTGTTAAAGACAAACACAAAAACCAGTCACCCCTGTAGAATATAGCTTCAAAAATACAATGTAAATAAAGACAATCCTATATTTAGGAAATAAATTAAAGGCTGAATTTCCAGACTTTTCGGAAGAAATAAGTTCCAACTTTACTGCTATAGTGCTTGAGTCAAGACACCTGGTATCTAACAGAAATAATAGCTAGTCCAGGTCTGGGGAAATGAGCCATTCAGCCATCAGATAAGGGGATGAATAGAATGTTTCTAGGGGTATAATGCAAATGTAGCTACCCTCAGGGGTTAAAAAGAGAACTTTACCAAAGGAGTGGTGGTGGTGGTGGTGGTAGGGGTAACAGATCAAGTCACATAACAATGACAATTCCCATACATCAAAAACATTTCTAAGCTTTGGTCAATGGTCCACTTATTTTCGAAATTTATTAATAGGGGGAAATACCAGTTAAATTGAAGACAGCTGAATAACTCTTTAAATATTAAAACTTAATAGTTGGATTTGACTTGAAGAAAAAAGAGGTTTCTATCAAAATAGTCAGATTAGACTAATTTTTCACCAACATTCTCCATTTCGAAAAAGGATATTGTTTTGCTGGCTGAATGGAACAATTGGTACAATAACTGCCTGGGCCTGGACACGTTCCAGGTAGGTCTGTGACAGGAGTCCAACAGTGAGAGTACCCCCATTCTTGGTGAAGACAAGCGCATCCTTTCCTAGTCGCATGGAGCCTGACTTGAAACCATTACCAAAGACCCCGATGGGACACTGGCTCTTCTTTATTACTTTATCTGTAAAGCCAAAGCTGTAATTACACAAGAAAAAAAAAGAAATCAGAAAAAAAAACCAGAAAGGTAAAAAGCATCTTAAGATAGATGACAGGCAGAATGTTTAGCTTACAAATGAAGAACACTTGTAAAAAGTTCCCCCCTTTTTTCTTACTTCTGATACCTCTGGGCAAAACTAGTAAGTTGAAAACGTAGGAAATTACTATGGAGTAATGAGACTGATTTTCTGGTGTGCTTTATGGATACATAAACACGTCTACTACATTACAGTCACACTTTATAAATGTAAAGGTGGCCTCGTTTCACTAACAGAGATAGCTGGAGAAGGCCACGGGTGGCTGTCTTTCTTGTCTAGATAAAATGACTCTGACTGCTATTAGTAAGGTTAAAAGGGTGGTTATATCAGAGTACACCCTAGAGAGGGTAACAAAAGCACCAGATAGTGGCACTGGTTACAAGTACTAGACTAGGCATCCACACAAATCTAAAAGCCAGAGGACACATGCGTGCGCACACGCACACACACACACACACACACACACACACACACACATGCCCCCTTACAATTTCAACTCTCTACCCAAAATACAACCCTTCCAATTCTTACCCTCTGCTCCATCTGCTGGGACAGTTTATTGGAATGTGGGCAAGGGATAAAAATAGGTAGTTCTTCCTCTGAATATCCTCAAACAGCTGCAGTATAAAGTCTGTCTTGTTATATTAAGGGCTTTTCACTGAATCAATTCAACAATTTCTCTAGCCCCTTATGATCAGCTTAATCTGGGGGCCAGATCTTTTATCTTTCATATATTCTCCATTCAAACATATGACAAAATAATAGAACCAAAAAAATTAAAGATATGAAATCTAGAAAATAATGATGATCTTCCTCAAATACCTTCCCTCACCACAAATAAAACTAATTTTAACGACTGTTTCTCTCCAGATTGACTAAATTTACAATGTTGTACACTACCATTCATTCGACAAATATTTGCCAAGTACCTACTATGTGCTGCGCATTGTGTTAAGCACTGGAGACACAACAGTTAATAAAAGAGACATGATTCTTGCCAATGTGGTTTACAGTCTAAGGAAAGATTTTATATATTACAGATTAGATGCTTCTCCAACATTAATAAAATAGACACTCTATATGTCATATCTGAGCAGCCTGGCCTTGGCTCTCACTCTTTTGAGCAGGGGTGAGTTGCCTGGTTTACTCTCTAAGAGCACCACCTTTTACTTTTATATTTCAAAGTGCTATATGATAATACCATTAAGTCTTTCTAGAATAGACACTTGACAGAAGCTTTGTGTATCCTACAAGTAAATCTAACCACAGGAAAAGGCAATTTTTAGGGCAGTAGTTCCTTTGAAAAATCCCAAAAGAATCTGAGTTTCTGCTGTCTATGGGCCTTAGTATTCCAGGAAATAAACTTAGAGAAGTCAGTAAGATCCAGGCATTCCTATTCCTCTTGTGGAAGAATTGGCAAGAAAAGATACAGTCATTACGATGATTAAATTATATGCTGTATGCACACTACAGAGCAGTATTCAAACTTTAATTTCAAACTAACTCTAGAAGTCACTCTGAGAATTGTCATGTGCTATCCTCTAGGTCTACTTCAGATCTAAAGTAATATCTAAAATTCAGGGCTCTTCATAAGCTGTAACCTACCATGTGAAATGTATCTATATGGATATCTGGACTTAAACTTTTTCTAATGCCACAAAAGCTTCAATTAGGTGGTCAAGAAAAAGTGGTGAAAATAGGGAGACTATATTACTCTTAATTTCCTAGCCATCCCTGCCTCTTCTACCTTTCCTTTGTAAGTATAAACCCTCATTGTGTTACTTAGTTTGGGGCTATCACATGGCTAAGGTTAAGAAGGTAAGCAGTAGGGCAGGGCCAGAACCAGAAATAGAAAAGGATAAGAATAATGAGAAGAGAGGAGCTGGAAGCTCTGGATGTTGTTGTGATGTTCCACTTAATTCTTCCCGTGTTCTTTTATTCCACTTAACGTTCCCATGTTAGGTCATTTTTTTTTTAACTGAAAACAGAAGAGTGGATGCCAAATACCAATCAAATAACTAATATAAAAGCCCTCGTAATAAATAGTAGAATGGTAGGAATGAGTTTTATATGGTTTGGTATAGCACACTCATTTTCCACAGAGATATCTTGGCTTAGACAGGTGGTTTTTCTTCACTAATAAGTCCTGTTCTATCCTCTTGTGTAGGAGACAATGGTGTTTACACACCAAGGGGGTTTGAATACCAGCTCTTTGAGTGGAATCAAGGAAGACAGCAGCTTGCTCCTGAGTTCCTTAAAATGTCAAGATTCTAGAATATAGAGAGTAAATTTAAATAGGGGCTCTGACCAATGAAACAAACCTTAGGAAATCCATGGACATACAAGGGCAGACATTACTGTTTCCTAGATATATTGGTGATATAATATGTAATATAGAGTAATGAAAGACTGCTAAACACACTGTTATTCTCTGGCTGTTGTTTTAGAACAGATCTACTGGGAAATGCACTTCTGAGTGGAGGGAGCAAATACCTTTAATCCACAGATCTGTGGCTGCTTTTAATCCTCGACCTTTGAAAGAAGAGGGTTTCCACCTTGCTGAAAAAGTCAGCTGAATATAAAGACTAGCTGGTTCATACACTAACCCCAGAAGCGAAAGAGTATTAATTATGGGTCTTAAAGAAATTCAATGATAGGCTTTTCCTTTTTAATTTGATTTTCATGGGATTTTGTATTTATGGGAGAAACTATTGCTGCAATTACACAACTATTTTATTAGCCTGAAAATAGGAAGAGTAGCATAAAGAACTGGAAAATGTGGATAGGATTATAAAAAAATGTTATAGATCAAACAAAATTTCTGTAGGCTTAATAATTTTGCATGACTATCTCTATTATTTTTTCAAATATAAAAGTAATATGCCCCAACCCTCCAAAATATTAATATATTTAATAATATTTTTCAAAGCTACCTCTAAAGTTCAATCATTTGAAAAAGAAATTGTGGTAAGTGGAATCCTTGGCTAGAAGTTATGATTGGATTAAGTGATCTTTTCTCAATACATGGGACCTTCTAATGGATTCAAGTATGTTTTAAGATACCATCAAAAATAAATCCAGCATAATTACTCTACATAACATAGGACTCGTTGAAAATTTCTCTAAAATTAATTTTTAAATATGAGGGAAAATCGCCCAGCTCAAATCGCCATGATGATGCCAAAAAATTCTATGGCTAAAGAAGTTTCTGACTGTTTTGGTCTGTTTTGTTCCTTGGGAAAGGAATGAAATTTTAAATGGATGATACTCATCCTCCACATTACAACTCAAATGTTATTTCTTCAGGGTAGTACTTTTTGAGTCTAAAGATTAGAACAGATCCCTCTGTTATACGCACTCATAGAAACTCTACTCTTCCTTCATAGCACTTATCACGAGGTGGGAGAGCCTATTTAGTTGTATCATTAGTCAATCTTTTTCTATATTTCTCACTAAACTGTCAGCCCCTTGAGAGCAAGGATCATGTCTGTCTGGTTCACCACTTTATCTCCAGTGACATTCATATAGGTGTTCAGTAAAAATTTGTTGAATGAACCTAAAATAAAAATTGTGGCAATTATTTTGAAATTACCCGCCTCCTTCCTCCTGCCTTGTCACTCTAAGCACTGACTTTCACAAAAGTAGTTCCATGACAAAATGAAAGGC